GAAAAGGCACCTTTCCTCTTTTTAATTGAGCCATTCAATGAGTAAAAGATCTAACACATTTCTGTGGATTATTGCTTTGGAGTCTATTCTCTTTCCCCTTTCTCTTTGAAAGCAAGGTCAAAATTCTTTGAAACCACACAAGAAAAACTCGTGTATATGAGCTTGAATTATTTTACATGTAAGGGGAAGTCTTACTTGGATCTTCCCTGTTGAGACTTTGAACTTAGCAAAGGAAAAAGCTATCTGTAGAATTTTGAGTGTATTGAACCATATTGGGAGGGGCAGAGGAATACAAAGATTTTCAAGTACTAAGCATAAAAATGAAAGACAATGTAAAAGGAAATGTGAAAAAGGAGGAAGTGTATTTGCACTTTTCCATTTCTAGATACAAATAATTGCATCCAATAATCCTAGCAATCATGCATGTGATACATAGCTTTGCAATTAAAAATAATTTGAGATGCAACAAAATAAGCATCTCGAATTTTTGAAAACATTCCCAGTTTGTTACAGATTAACATCAAATAGTTCCTGTGTGCTAACAACACAAATGTGTAGGAGGTCTTTAAAGAAAATAAAATTATGTCTTCTGTGTGAGACAAACTTTCAACATTAGGACAACTCATTCTGTTTACAAAAACATCTTTCTGCTTATAAACAACATTCTCCTTACACTGAGCCATATTTTCAGCTTTAATTTTGTATTTGTCACATCCATCACATAGGTACATGCTATTCCGATGGATCAGGTGAAATCAACTGATGTAAGGGTGGGGCTTCTCTTCACATTTACCTTTCCTAGTGTAATGTGGTTATCAAGTGTCACAGTCTTAGAAGAGGCTTACCACGTTCAGTGAGCACAAGGCTGCAGCCTCCTCATGTAATTTTTGTGTTCTCTGAAATAAGAATCTAATTGCCTCAATTACTTCCTAATTACCCCTCCCAGCTTCCTACCGGTTTTCGCATTGCCAGTAAGAACAGGAGGAGGAAGCAGGAGCACTGGAGAAGAGTGAGGGAGAAGGAGATTGAAGACCTTCATAGTGTACCACTGGTTTTAATTTAAATTTTTTTTAAGTCTACCATAGATGGCTGAACTTTAATACCAATTTTCCTGCCTTTGTGGATTTTAATTGCCCCACTCTAAAGTAAATTTCACCTCTGTATTACTTTCTTCAGTGGATACAGCTTATCCTTAACCTGAAGGTTTAATAGAATTATACATATATTTTATGTTGCTTCAAGTATTTCTGGAAGAGTCTGAGTTGCTTTGTGACACAAGAACAAACAATTTTTGAGGAGAACAGATCAGACAGAGCAAGGCAACATGTGAACAGAGAGTTACCACACGTGAATTGTTCTGCAGTAACTCGCTTTTGGAACTGCCAGCGATGGGGTTTTCTCTCTGGCTCCGAGTTTGGTGTTGAACACCAACCAAGGCTGCAATGGAAAAGTGATAAGCAGTCGGTCACCTAAACCACATGGTGAGGAATTGGCAGGATGAATATCTTCACAAATTCCGTAATGCAGAAGATGACTGAAAGTCCGAGCTTTTTGGTCACAATAGCTGTATGTTCTGGCCATTTGGATCTAGTTGTTAAGGGAAGAATTGTTTCTAACCAGCATTCTTCAAGACAGAAATGTGCAATGCTGGATGAAGAGAGCTTTCCCCAGTCAGCAGGAGCGGAGTCTGCCCTCGCTAGGTTGTGCAAAGACCATCTGCCAGTTGACTTCCAAGTGCAAATACAATCTGTTACTTTGTCAAAATAAACAACATATCTATTGACAGAGCATTTATAGACTGCTGACTGCCTAACTCTCCAGCTATCAGAAGAACAGCCTGTTTATGGCACTCTCACTTTTGGACAGAAGCTGTTATATCTCAAACACTGTAATGAATATTTCATAGTTTCAGAACCAAGAGATAGGTCTTTACTCTTGCTTAGGCTGGCAGGCATCCAGGGTCATCCCGGCAGTAATGTCAGGTAATTCTGAAAGCTCTATTTTATGGGCATATATAACCCAGGAATTTTATCAAATGAATGTAAGGGTTGTCATGTCATTAGGATAACCTAATACAATCAAAGTTGATGTGTGTATATATCACGGCAGTAAATAACAGATGTAATAACTGAGTTCTGCAAAAAAAAAATATCTATATTTCTGTAATGACTGTTTCCCCCTCTTTGAGCCATTTTTTAAACCCTCCTCCACTCCATACTGTTTACGGGAATGCCTCTAGGTTGTGTATGGTAAGCTTTTCTTCTTAAAGAAACCAGAAAGGCTAAATCCTAACTTTTTAGAGAGCTCTCTTAGAGTATTTTTTAAATTAGATGATCCCATGTTCTTCAGAATTAAATGTTTCTCTGTGTGTCAGATTCTGACGTGGTATTTAAGGTAGACTGATGATTAGGACATTTTCAAAAGTCACAGATTAGCTAACACGTAAGCAAGGAGGAGAGAGGTCTTTCCTGTCCAGACACTAACTGATTCTAAAAGTTAAATGATGCTTATGAGCCTAAAAAAAATATATATCTATATTAAAGGAGTTTTCATCCTTGTTACTTATCCTTAGAGACATCAGTGCAGACTTCAGAGATCGTTGCCTTCACTCAATTATTTCTTAGTCACATAAGTAAAAATACTAATTTAATACGAATATTTGAATAGTCATGGTTACTCACAATAATTCAATTCTTTTTTTGTCAAATGGAGACTTATGAATATATCTTTCAGAATTACAGAAAAAATAATAAGGGAACAAAACCCAGAAAATAACATGGCGCTCAGCTGAGGAATACACTGTAGGATTCCTCTCCACAGCTCAGAAAGAATAGCCAGAAATGGGTAAGGTATAGGGAAAAGCCATGTGGTGATCACACCTATGGAGTAGCTTCTCTGAAGAATTAAACAGGTTGGGGCTTCGAGCTAAGAAAACTCAGGGGCAATATGAGAAAGGACACAGCTGATTGTTTTGGCTTTTTTTCCTGTGCCTCCAAAGGAATGCAATTTTGATAGTAACTAGTGAAAAACCTATTTCAGTTTCTGAGTTTAAGGAAATCTGGGTGGATGAAGTGATACATTTGAGAGTGATGCAATTAATACGATACCCAAGCACTGTAAGTCTAAGAGGCAGAAACGCCTCCATCTCTGTAACCACATTGATGTCTTGAAGCAAACTATTTGCAACAAAACATTCGTGCTTTTACTATACCACAGGTTTTTTTTAGTGCAGAAAGTGACACATCCCTGCGGGTGTCTGAGGACTTTCTGATGCAATTATGTTTTGGCACTTCTAGAACTGCATTTCTTCATTGGAGGAGTAAAGATGCAGCACTGTGTCATGGCACCGTTTGGTCAGCCAGTCACTCATCTACAGATCACTCCAGATCTGGACTGCAGGATGATTTCTCAGCAAACTGCCATCTCATGTATAAAACTAGATCATATTTCTCCACTTCTCACAATGTTGCAAGGGGATTTTTTTTTGCAGTTCTGTCTGATCGGTTTTTCCTATGCTAGTAAAGATGTTTGTCCCTTTGCAGTTACACTCTTTGGTACAGTTTGCAGCTGTGATACACGTTTCCTTTCTCCTCTCCTGACACTTGCAAGCATGTTGTCTTTTTGGATGGGAGCATTAAGCTCCAAGTTCTTTTTTAGAGAAACTTCACGAGACAGGATAGCGCTGCTCTCATAATTATTCCTCAGTTTGATTTTAATCATTAAAATAACTATTTTTTCCTGTTAAATGCAGAGCCCTCTGAGAAAAAAAAAAACAAATATCTCAACCTGTGACCTACAAATAAATGAAGATGCATTGAAGCAAGTTACCTTTGGGTCTTATGTTTGTCTGAGGCAGTACACAGCAAACCTGCAAAACATTTATTTATTGCAGGAGTGCAAAATTTTACTACTCTCCCAAGGCCTGACAATATACATCCGTAAGCCATCATTTTTATAAAGAAAGAATGATCTTAAAGCCTTAAGGAATGATAGAAATCATATGTTTCAAATACATTCTCCTTTCCAAGTTGGAGCATCCAAATATGTTCATTTTTCTATATAACTTAATGCATCCGTCACCGTTAAACATCCAGACCCTCGAGGATTTTGCCTCATGATCCAATGCTCATTATATCTGTATCCAGAGGAGGTCAGGAGCGAGGCACTTCATTTTGCTGTCTGGCAACTCCAGAGCTAAAGGTTTTTCAGCAAATCACTTTCAGTTCAAGGAGTCACCACTGTGTGGGTGCATAGGTTCTTTTTTGGGCTAACAGAGAAACAAACCCAGGTGTACGGGAGAGGAGGAGCAAACAGCCATCTCTCAGGAGTTTGGGGAGGGAGAGATGGATGTTCCTGGAGCTGCCTGTTTCTCCCCTTTGGCTGCAAAAGGAGCCAAGGGAAACCTGCTCCGATGCAGATGTCTAACTTTCACATATCTGAAGTCAGAGGGGAGGAATGCATCACTGTGGGGTACAGTGCAGCCATCGTTCTAGCTGTCAGAGTATTCAAAGCCAAAGGCATCTTCCCCCTTATTACCATACCTTGCCAAAGCCAAGACAGATTCTGCTGCCCCCAGACCATTTGCCACATTTGTTGTGGGGTTTTTCTGCCTGCATTAGCAGGGATTCTTAGAAACTGAGCAAACATTTTACTTTAGATAGGGATCCCTACAGCAAATAACCGTCGACTCTTGGATTTTGAGATAGATGTACACCTTGTTATTGATTTTCTCAATTTTGAGGAAGCTAAGACAATACACAAAGCTGATAAGCGTGATCATTTCAGCATAGGCATAACCAGAGTCAGTCTCTACTTCCCTCCAGTCTTAGCTCTGTCCCCTCTGTTTGCGCTTGCTCTCTCAAAAGTTCCACAATGTGTGTAGCTTTGTGTTTTATGGCTGATTAATTGCACATCTTAAGAAAGAGCTCCAATAAGGCTATTCATGCACTGGGATGGATCAGGCTGTCTTTCTCCCATGCAGATTCCCCAGTGTCCAGTAATATAGCCCAGCTGATGTTGCTGCCTTTCCCTTAGCACAGGCACTAACTAGTGCTCCTAACTCCTCTATCCAGCTGTCTATTTTCATAGAGCTGGCAATGACAGTATTTTTGACACTTCTGTCCCTCTGCCAAATTGGTTGAAATTTCCCACCTAGTTCCATAGTTACTGGGGCTGACTGGCAAAAAGCAGATGGTGAGATTTCCTTAGGATCTTAACCTAAAAACCATCCCCAAATGGAAAGAGGGCGTGTAAGAAAATTTATGGTTTGTTATTTATATTAGCCGTCATTTATAAAAGACAGAAACTGTGTGTAAGTAAACAGGTATTTTTATAAAAGGGAGAAGAGACTATGTACATCACATGTAACAAATGCAGATTGTACTGGAATACACGCAAATAAAATAGGAACTTCACTAAAAAATTGACACAAAGGAGTAAAGCTTCAACACAAGGCGCAGGGAATTCATCGAACTCCTCTTGGATAATGATGGGATGACACTTTAAATCTGGTGTCATGTTTACCATTGCAACAACCATCCAGTCCAAGACATTTTTCATTACCTCCTGCCTATTTTTTTTTCCACCCGTCATTTTCCAGAAGTCCATTCCCCAAACTAACTTCTTCCTGGAATCTCATTGTTAATTCTCATAATGATGTAGCAGGTAGGCTAAGGCGTTTAAAATAGCAATATACAGCTCTCACATAGCACTTTTCATCATAATATAAACCAGCACCTCCAAATAAGATAAGCACAATTTTCTTTATCTGATAAATGGATACTTGGTGATTAAACATATAAAATTTCCACCTTTTGCAAGAAGGTAGAAATGTTTTAAAGGCACTATAATTGAGCAGCAGCTTACTGTTACAAAACTGAACTAGTGAGCAGGAATTCTTTAAGCGTAGCCCTAGTTTCAAGGGCAGGTGTGGCTTCATTGATACCGCTGGATGAGTTAATGGACACAAGAAATAGGTAACTGAGGCACAGTTTTTGTTCTGACATAAAAAATTTGTAAGCTATTTTTCATTCCTACAGACGGAAATCATTTAACTGAATCCCTTTCCTCATACATGTTAAATGTTTAATCCTTTAGTGTCTTTTCAATTTTTATCACTCTGAGAAAAGATTTCCTTAAAAACTTAATAGTGGAGAAAATATAAAGGAAAACATTATTACAATATTTAAGTTCTGTTATGATCAGCAACTCCTTATAACACAGCTATCTCTGATTTTCTAAAATATTGCTAGAAATAGTCAACATGGAATTCAAAATTTCCCAGGTGAAAAGCCAAAACAAATCAAATGTTGTCATATTACCAAGGAAAAAGCGGGAAAGAAAAAGCAAACACTGATTTTGGCTGAAGAAGCTCCTACAGAGGTTGAAAAGATTGTGGGAAAGAACAGCCCTTTGTTCTCTTCATTCTAGCAATTATTTAGCATGGAATTTTCTTGAAGGCCAGAAAATTCCAAGTAGCTACCTTACATGGAAAGGAGTTGAAATAATGTCTTAGAATCAGCACAATGACCACAATAATTACTAGTAACACAAAAGTATATTACAGCACATTAATGAATGTCAAATAACATCAGATATTTACTATACAGGCTGAAAGTTCAATATAAAAAAAAAATGTAAAAAGTGTATCTAGATTTAAATGTCTCAATCAAAAAGTGTTTATAGGAGATATGCAGAAACAATGCCCTGTCAAGATCTTCTCATAACTCATCACTTCGCTACAGGTATATTAAATACTGTACATTCTATGCCACCAAAGGGGGGGGAAGAAAGTAAAGTATCTTTTGTAAAATTCAAGGAAACCAGATATGCAACAACAAATTGCTTCAGAAATCTTTCTCCCTCAGGGATTAGATCATTGATGTTTGACTGATGTTGGCTAATGAGCAGAAAGAGTCTCGGCATCAAAGAATTTGGTATAAATGGTATACAGATTGTATAAAGATGAGAAACGGGCAGTGCCAATGACACAAGCATTCCAGGTGTGGGGAAAGTTCCTCAGGTAGGTAGTTTTCTATTGCTGTGAGGACTCTGGATGCTAAAAGGATGTCTACTTGTCACCACCCAGCTTTCTTGGTAGGCCTTGTGTCACCTGGACTGGGGGACAGTCTGCTGCCTACCTTGCAGGCCAGGGCAGCGAGAGCAATGCCTTGGCACAGCACAGTGCTAGGCAGATGTGCTCTAAAGCAGGTTACAGGCTGTGGCACACAACTGTCACTGAATATGTCACCCCACGGGCACTTCTGAGCCAGCCTGCTACCTTCAGAAGATCCCCAAAAGGGTCATACTGCTTGGTCTGTGGCACTGCTGGTGGTGTGCAACACCAGGGTTCTGCAAATCTTTGCAGAAGTCTTCTGCAAATCCAGATTCTGCAAATCTTTGCAGAAGAGGTCAAAGGGAAGATTTACTGAAGCAATGTTTTGAAACATTACTGTGAGAAAACAATGGAATTATCACAAAAATGGAATTTCACACTCCTAGCAAACCCCTGCCAGAGACAATGGACTGACAAACGGCGTGCAATGGAAAGCAAGAATACAAGCTCTGCTCCCCAAGTTTCACAACCAGTCTCTCATACCCACCCTTAATACATCTAACCCACTAAACTTTGTGACAGCAGTTCAACAAAATCATGTTTTGCAGCAAAAAAAAGTTTAGCAGATTTTTCTATTAAAAAAATCTGCAATATTCCAACTAACTCTGAGTCAGTTAATAAAAAGAAGAAATTTATGTAGTAATTTCAACAAGCAAACTAAATAATAAGAAAGCTGGAAGGCTAAACTGATCTTGCCACCTAGCATTTTAAACAGTAGAAGATTTACAGTCAAATCCAAAACTATCAACAAACACCTACAGTCTTAATTCCTGTTTTGCCATGATGTTTTCATCACATCAAAACGTTTCACAAAGACGGGGTACAAGAAGGGAGGAAGTATACCAGGGAAGAGAGAGAATAAAAAGGAGTGGAAAAATGACCAAAATGCGACCAACAGAGATTTTTCTGAAAACACAGAAAGTAGCCATTTTGTCTGGGACAAAGACGTCTGGAAGCAATAAGACACAAAAACAGAGAAAGGGGGGGGAAAAAATGAAAAAGTATAAAAGAATAGGAGACCTTCCTCCAGCAAAGCATTTGCACGTAGGCTCAGTGTGAAGCAAAGCCTGAAGATAAGATTGAATGGGAGTGCTCTGCTGGATTTAAAGGAGAGAAAACAACAGCAAGAGACAACAATACTCCAGTAGGTACCTACCAACAGCTTGCCATTTTCGAGACAACACGTTTCTTTTAATTGCCATTTCAGAGCTTTCTAGCTAAGCCTGAGATTCCAGGCTGTAGAATGCTGCTGAAGAGGACGCAGCGACTCTTTCCAGACTAAATGCTTTACAGCAGACCAGCTAAGATCGGACTAAACCATTTTCAATCAGCTGGTCCCTAAAGTAGCCCTTTGTGAATTTTGTCAGTGTAAAGGGAGAGTTTTGGAGAGACCGTTTCGTCTGGGAGAGCTCACTGGTACCTGGTCCCTAGGCGTGGCCTACGTGGGTGTCTTTATACCCACTAAAAACTGCTTTGCCTATGGAAAGCACCAATTTACTACTCAATTTAGGGAGGAAAAACACAATAGGAATGTCCTTAGGACATTTGGGGTGAGGAGCTTTTACAAACTTATTCCAAAAGCCCAGTAAAAATATCACTAAAACACAAGAAAACAGAAAAGAGCAAACAAATCGCCCCAGAAAACCATTAATGAAAAGTAAAAGTAACTTTATCAAACTATATATATAATTGCTTTCATTAAAAAAGAAGGAAAAAAGCACACCTACCGCCTGCAGTTCTGGTCAGGTATCTCCCCTCCTCCCCCCACAAAAAAAAGGTAAAAATAAAAAAATACAAATAAAATAAATTAACTCTTTCATCAGCCTGGTTCTTAACAGAAACAATTTCTTCCCCTGCTACTCTATTTACTAAATAAATCTGTTAGAAGTCTTAAGGAAAAAACCAGCAATTCTTCAGCTGAAACTACAAGTAGAACTTTTCTTCCCCTGCTCTTTGCAATTCTGGGATTATTTTAATGGTAGCTGTTCCCTGCCCTGGTGAGGGGGATGAGTGCTGGGTGCAGGTGTTCTGCATTGTCCCCACTGAGCTGGCAAAGGGTGTTTGAGTGAAGGTTATCACCTTTCTAGGACTTGCTCTGATTTAAAAAGACATCACTTTGAACTTGAAATCAGCGCTTTCTCTCTGAACTGTGAAGCGAATTGCTTATCGTTTAGTTCTGCCTAATGATTTAGATAATATCGTTCATTAACTCTAATAATAATGGCCCTGATTCACCAGAGTACTTAAATATGCAAATAGCATCATTTAGGCCAATGGGAATCACATGCTTAAAGTTAAATATGTGTTGTAGTGATTGGGCGAATGGGATTCCCAATGCGCTCAATGAAGTTGAAGTGTTATGAGTCATGTTTGTAAGAGATGTACTTAATAATTAATTTGGGGTTTTTTTTTTAATAAATTGCAAGAGCTGTGGTGGAAAGACACTGTAGAGTCCATATGAACAGTTTAACCTTCAGCAGTGGGAGCCGAGTAAGGGATGCCAGATCTGCGTGGCAGTTGGTACGAAGTATCCAGAGCTGTATTTTCTGCCCTTCAGGCAGCTGGGAAACGTCCTCCACACCCCTCAGCACTTTGCCAGATCTTTATTTCCCTTCAGTGAATGTACTAAAACACGTAACGGCAAAATTTAACCCTCGTGATCCTTATTTTCCATCTGCAAGTACATCTGCTGAGAGGTACCCACAAGAAGGGCTTTAATGGGCCAGCAGAATAATATTTCTGGAGGGCTCCGGGCAAAATACATCCAGTGTGTGTGGTGGAGACCAAAGCAGAAGTACAGGAAGCAAAGGAATTATTCAGTGAAACCAGATTTTTTCCACACTCCACATTTTCCTTTACCAACAAAATACGTCATGCCTTCAAAACCCAGTATGGTTTTCCCTTTTTGGCAAAAAATAATAATAAAAAAAAGAATTCTTTATAACTTAACAGGAGAAGAAAGTTTGTGATGAAAAGGTTAAAGATGGAATCATCAACGATATAGGTGGAAGTTTGTCATCTGGTAACCAGAAATGATAGCAAAAAGTTTTATCAAGTCCTCTCTGAGCAGCACTCTAAACCGGGCACACGGGGTTTGATTGATATTTCTAAGGGTAATTGTTCAAGAAGAATTTCTCTCTTGGATCAAAGGATCCCCCCACAGAAATATCAGCTACGTCTTGCACTCATTTATACAGCAGCTGCTGGAAAATGAGCCTAATTCTTCATCTGAAGAGTCCGACCACAATAATAGAATGAAGTGAAAATGACCAAAGAGAAAGACTATAAATGGTGTCATTTTCCAACCCTGCCCCTGGCCTCCAGGAGAAGACAGCAAGCAAAGCCGAAAGCGCCGGCACGCCGGGCTCCCCCGGCCCCAGCAGGCAGCATCTGGGCACCCATTCCTGGTGTGCAGTTGAAGAAACTCTTCCCAAGCTCCAGGGAGGGAACTTGCAAAACATCTCCAGCAAATCTTCAGGAAGGTCCTTCTTCTCCTTTTCGTTCTGCTGTCATTTCTCAAGCTTCTCCACCCTGGGACTGCTCTCACTTTTTGGCTATCAGCCAAGGAGTCTGACCCTTGAAGCGGCAGACAAACAGTTTCATGTGAAGACAACCAGGCAGAATTCACACTCATCAAGGCTGACAGCAATCCAGTGACAGGTTTTAGTAGGGACAGACCCTGAAACTAAACTGTCAGGTTCGGGGTGGCGCAAACCCAGCTTCTACCATCTGGGTGTGTCTTGAAATGCAAGGCATTTATGTTTGGGAAGAGCAGCTAATCAGTAAAATTCCACTGATTCCCAACCTCTGGTTTATCCCCAGTGGCTGCTGAGGCTGTAGCGACAGGAGGGGCTGTAGGAACAGCAATCTGAAATGGTTACCAATCTACTTTAGTTAAAAAAAAAACAACTAAAAACAGTCTGCAGCAACCACAGGGAACCATTTCACCATTTTCACATCTCACCATTTTCCTTTTACGGTAGGTGAGGGGTTCTCTGACATGTGCCTTTTCCCCAGCGCTAGATCAGTTGTCTTTCATCTTCTATACTTCAGTGCAATTGCTGCAAATAATCTCAGGTCCTTTCTGTCTGCACAGCCTGGTGAGGTGCTACATTTTCATGACTCAGGCACTCATGACTCAACGCCCAAGAGAGGCACCGTGGGGTTGCCAAAATATCCCCCCCCCCAGAAACCTGTGGGAATTAGCTACCTCAGTGCCCTTGGAATTAGGTCTGAGCTGAGTTTTCCTCACAGCTGAAGTCTAACAATCCCTTTCTCCAGGATGCAAAAGGAGCTGCTGGTTTGCAAATGAAAGTAGAAGTTGTTAAACAAGTTTTCAAGTCAGCAGACCTTCCTCCAAAATACCATTCTCTCTAAAATGCTGAATTATGTTCAGCTTTTTAAGGTGACCTTAAAGGAAGCATTAAACAAGCCTCTGAAGGCTTGTTTGCCTAAACTTTGCTGCCCCAATAAGCACACTTAGAGTTGAGCAGGTAATTTGAAGCCAAACCAGTGGTACAATCAGAATGGCCTGAGATAAGGAACCCAAAGGTAATAAGGATGAGAGCATGTGATGACACTCTGTGTGTGTCTGTGCTTTGCTGACAGAAAGCAGCTGAGTCCTGTGGAAGCTGTGGCACCAAAGCCTCTTGTGGTTTGCACTGGTGTAAGTCAGGAGCATCCCCACTGATAACAGAGGGATTATGCTGGGGCAAAGCTGAAGTAAAGCAAAATCAAACCTCTCTCGCTCAGACTTCTCCTCCTCCCCTGCCCCTTTGCTGACACAAGTTGGGCACTTCCAGGAGCTCTGGCAATTGCACTTCAAGGTCCCCCGTGCCTCAGACAAAAGCTAACCCTCTCACAAATGTATCAGTTGAAAACCAGCCCAAGAAATAACCCAGATACAGTATAATCTTGAGACTCCTTCACCTTTCAGTAGCTGTGTTAAGACAACATAACAGATGTACGCTTTGTTTGCTTTCAGGTAAGACAAACCCAAGCAAAGACAATCCCATGCAGAGCAATCACAGTTACAAACCAAAAATACACCACAGACACCAAAGGGAACAAGAGGCATTGGCAGGTTCTTGTTAGGATCTATAACTTTTTGAGGATTAAATATAGCCAGCATTTTGAGGAGGCACTGAAGCATTCAACCTACCTACCTCGTGGGCTGAGCTCTACAAAACCAGAGTAGACATTCACTGCTGCTGCCACCACTATAGTCTTCTAAAACCAAGGCTACCATCAGTATACCTGGCTGGGTCTTTTATAACAGTTTTGTCTTTAACAGGTGTGTAATTAAAACACCAGAGTTTTGTGGCATTCCTTTAAATGTGCTGTTCTAATTAGCTTCACAGCTGTAAAGCCTTATAACAGGGAGCCGGGTCTTACATTAAAGAGAAAACACTCAGGATTCCCTTGTTGCTCTGCAGTTCATTTTCTTTCTATACCATTTCAGCTCCAGTACCCTGAGCATCTCATGAAAGCCTCCTGCGTGGAAGAGTTTCATCCAAAGGATAACGTGGGCATGAGAAGAAATGGTTGTAAATATCACAAATTAGTTTAGGTTGAAAGTTGCAAGGAGTTTCCTAACTGCAAGAGCAACCTGAGTCAGCCTGTGGGATGGGGAGGTAAGGGACACAGGGTGACAAAAACCTCACTGGTTTCTAGGTGAAGCTCAATATGAGGTGACAAATGGATTGCAACACTCAAGGGCTGGGCTCTGTTCATCAGGCAGTCCCTGGCAGGCCTTCTCCTCCACACACAACAGAAGCACATCTCTTGCTTCCTTGTTTTACTCTGAGGGTGCTAAAAGGCTGTCTGAAACGGGCTGGAAAAAAATAACTAATGAATAGTTTGTAAGCAGAGGAATAGTTGAGCGTAGGGTCGAATAGGGAGGTGGTGGTGACCAGGAGAAGCTGTTGTGAACACAGGCTGTGACCCACACATCCAGCACTGCAGGGTCTGGGGTGCTCAAAACGACACAGGGACTGCGGGAGAGGGAGCTGAGCTCCTTTTGCAGTGGCAGCATTTTTAACTAAGGAATTACTGCTTGAGTTTCTCTGCTGGGATTTCTAAACACCTTTAGCTTCTCTCTATCCCCCTGAAACATCTGGGTTGCAAACTGTCTTTCCCCCTTACACGGAGAAGCAAGGAAAGGGGACGTGTTTTAGGAATGGGTTGCAAACTGTCTTTCCCCCTTACACGAAGAACCAAGGAAAGGGGACGTGTTTTAGGGACCAGATTTAGACTTCCACTCCTTTGCTTATTTTCTAAGAATAGCCTATTGTGATGTTCACTTTAGTCTGATAGTGTATTTTTTTTTTCTTGATGGTTAGTTTAGACTTGAGGCATTAACAAAGGTAGGTCAAGAAAGATAATTACGGTGTATGTATGCAAATTATAATCACACACTCTGCAAATTTGCATGCGACCTTTGGTTAACATTTTTAAAAGCCATGTGGATTGATTTGTCTAATAAACATTCATCGGGATATCACTGAGGTATTCAGCATTACACTTAATTTTAAATGAGGCTTTAATTAAGCTACTTGCAGGCCTACCATTTAAAAAGATGCGAGAATTTCTTGCTGACCAGGGCTCTTTGTCATGAGGGTTATTCCAGCTCCTGGGAGATGCTCTATTTTATTTTTATTTATTATTATTTCCAGCTCATGGGAGCTGATCTATTTTAGCCAGAGGCAAGAGACTAAGAAATTCTCTTTGTACGTGCTAACTCCACAGCTCCTGGGGAAGGTGTTACTGTTCCTGCGTAGCCAAGGAGCAGCCCCTAGAGGAGCTGCTGGGAGCCTGCACTTGGCTGGCTGAATCCCATCAAGAAACAGACCGTAATTGGTCCAATTATGGTTTAATTATATTAAACAGACCAATTATCCATTGATAATTATGGATCATGGAATCTCTAAGTTCCCAGTGTACAGTGGCTACTGTGATTTCTTTTTTTCCAGCAATGCCTTAATTTAGTCACACCAAAACAGTTAAGATTTCACTTTAATAAAAAATACATAATATTTTGAAATAGTCTTGAATGATTCCATCTTGAAAAAAATGAAAATTACCTTTAAATCTATACAGGGCAGTTCCTTTGGGCACTTTTAATGCAATAATTTATTAAGTTCCTATATTCATCATGTGTGCACAAATATGTAAATATTACAGCTGTACTCCATGACAAAACAAGCATAATGCAGACATAGAATTATACAGAGAACTGACAAATGAGGAAAAAGGGAGATCTAGCATTTTCTGTACAAAAAAATATGCAGCTTTTTGATAACTCGTAAAAACGCATAACTTTCAGCATTTCAGAGAAGAACACTGTATAAAAATAAATATTCTATGTACAATAACACACACAAGGCCAGTCCAGGGTTAGAATCATCACTGCAAAAGAAAACATAAAGGAGTGTTAGTGACAATTCACTAACGATTGTTAGTGACAGCTCAGCAGGGGGGAAGGACCACTTCACGGGGTGGAGGGACGGTGTCAGGGGACCCGCTCTGAGGTCTCCAGGAGGAAAAGAAACAGTGCTGGATCTCAGCAGAGATCCTCCTCACTCTCCTGGGCGGTGAGGACGGGAGGTGCAAACCTGGGCTGAATCTCTGCCTCCACTTTCCTCCTGTGGCTGTGGCTTGAGCACTGGGCACTAATGCACACAGCAGGTACTGAAGGTGGGCTAGACCCTGAGGAGTGGCAGAGAGGTCAGTTGGAACCTCCAAAGGGGACTGCTGAGGCAGCTGAACCACCAGAAACAAAGGGAGAGTGGAGGGGACAGGTATTTACGTCTCTCTGCCCTGCTCCCTGGGGTATGCCTGCTCCCAGCCTCCGGTAACAGCACTGACTGGGTGCAAATGTAATTTTTGTGAAAATATCAGAGCGCTTCAAGGCCAGGCAGCTCAAAGGCCACGAATACAATTCTCGCCCTTTTAACCTATAAAACTAACCAGCAATATACAAATAAAGGAGTTTTAGCTTGGTGCTTTTCAGCCTCCACACCGCTTTTGCTCTTAGCCAGGCTCATTGAGAAACATCAGCAGGATCTCTAGCACTGCCAGCTCAGCACAGCCACAACATTTCCAGAATTATTTTACCTTATTCCAGCAGCCTTGAACTGGAAGGCCATCTTCCCCCTGCAAAAAAAAAAAATTAAAAAAAAAAAAAAGCAGTTTAGGACACGGAAAGTAGTGCAGAGATGGAGGAAAGGAGGAGTGGGTTAACTATTACAGCTGCAACAAACAGTCTGACCCGGGGCTGGAGGAATAGTCTGAAAGATATTCCTCACCCCTTTGGAGTGACCCGGGCTTCTGGGTGACACAACCAGTGTAGCTTGCAGCAAGGGCTGGAGCTGAAGAGGGGGGCTGCCTAGAGGCTACACAAAGAACTTAATGTATGTGATGTCTGTAGGCTTTTTCTCCTTCTTTGCTGAAGGAGGTGTTTAACCAGGCTCCCCTGAAGGAAGGAGGGAATCCAGGAGGTCCCATCCAGCCAGAAAAGTAGTGCTGAAGCTGGCAGTGGAAAACACAAGGTGGCTGGTTCTGTATCCTCAGGTTTGACTCTATAATGGTGAGGTTATAAGCAAACCACAGAGGCAGCACTAACCTTGCGTGTAAAGGAGGGGCTGGAAAAAACTTCCAGTTCCTTTCTGTTTGTTTGTTAAAGGGTTTGCTTTATCACATGAGGGATCACCCAGCTGTCCCAGCTTGTCTCTGAGAAGCTCCTGCTCCAGGGACATTAGGAAGGCAGGAAGCTGGGCAGCCTCCATGCTGGCTGAGGATCTCTCAACTGATGCCCCAAAGTCTTGGGCTACATATATCCCAAGGTGGGCAAGTGATCTTTATTTTTTTTAATGTTGAAGAAGCTCAGATACTTTAAGGGCTGAGCCTATATGGTTGGGAAATGCTTTTGTGAATTACTGCCGTTAAATTCATCTCCATGCAGCCCCATGTGAGAAACCAGGAAACTATATCAATGGTAAGGTGCTCTTGAGCAGGAGATAGAGTCAGCTGTAAGGAGATACACCTCTGGCATGAGAAGTCAAATACTTCTGCTGTGTGCGGGTGTCAGGTTTGTGGGCTATTGCTATTCCCCAGGAAAACTCAAGAGCAGGGAGTGAAATTGGACAATGCATGATGCAGGTACATTTCCTTGTGCAATTGACTCAGTTCTCACTTCAATCTGCAGTGCGTGTCGCCCCGTTTGAGAAGGGGAAAGGAAAAAAACCACCCAAAAACCAACCAACCAGATAAGCAAATGCACAGTAGTACATTGAGAAATAAACTACTTAAAGGAGATGCACTTTCAAGGGACTGATGAAGTGAACGTTGCCATGATGCTACAACCATAGTGCTTTTTGAAGGCATTTTTCAGACCGTGGTCTCCTTGTGATATTTCCTCTCCCTCCCCTATGTGGAAATACTGAGTTACAGGTGAATTCCTGGGTAAATGGTGGCGTTCCCATTGGTACAGTGGTGGTGGTAGGAATGAGTGGTGTATGCGTTGCAGGAGGAGGTGGGAAGTTAGGTGTATGAAGGAATGGGAGGCCGGGGAGTTACAGCTTAGGGATCAAAGGAAGACCAGGGTCACAAGGAAGTGTTTGTTGCAGGCCAATTTGCTGAGAACGGAAATGAGACATGCTTATTAGTACTGAGTATCTCCTTCCACATATCTCAGATGTGTAAAGCATTAGTTCACAGCCTCCAGAAGTTACACACACGCATGTGTCAGCTGGATGCTAAGCTTTTAACCTAGTTGGATCAAAAAACATGCTTATTCACGTTCCCAAGCTAGCTTGCATGCCAGAGCACTATATATAAAAAAAAATAATGGCATCTGTATTTCACCAGATTTTCTGGCAAGTTTCCCTTTACAAAAATAGGTATGAAAAGAGTCGTACGTTCTAACACAGCCAGGGGGGGTGAATCCTAAGTGAGAGCAGAGACAAAAAAAGAAAAGTAGTCTAGCAGGGCACTGCTAGAGTCCTACCAGGGCACTGGGAAATTAGGTGCCTTATTCAGGCAAAATTTATTCCGTAGAAACCTGTCTATTATCAGTGGGAGGAAAAACACATGGATCAGTGGTATTTTTTCTCCTTTGTGGACTGTTCTGGACAGATATTATTTTACCTGTGGGACTGTTACCCAAAATTTACAGAGCAGCAACTGAGACTTTGCAAGTAGTCACTGTCACAGTCATTGCCCCAAAAAGACAACGGCAGCACCCAAAAGAGGGGATGCTGGAAGGAAGACTAAGGTTAGCTCTTCACAAATGTCAAATAACAAAGGCTTTTAATAGCCATTTCAGGGGTAGTTTCCTCAGGAAACTGAGAAAACCTTTCAAACTAAATGTGGCTTTTTTTTTCTTTGAGCTTTTTCCAACTGGTTAAACTAACTTTTATATCCTATGCCTTGTAAATGGCATCAAACATCTTTAAGTGAGCATAAAGCTTGGAATAACCATCCTCAAGCAAAGCTAGTCATGCCAAATGGGGCTGGGAGAGCAGGGCAGTTCAACTTTCAGTGTATCATGGAGTTGTTGAGACTGCTGAAGGGAGAAAAAACCTCACCTGAATGCTACACCTCCAGAAAATCTCAGAGTAAATTAATAATTGGGGATGGCTAATGGGATATTTAGAAATCAATTGAGTTTAAGTGTTCCTGAATACCTTCAGGATGGCTAATGGGATATTTAGAAATCAATTAAGTGTTCCTGAATACCTTCGTCTTACAATAGTTGGGTTATATGAGGCCCTAATGCAATAATCATCCTTTAATACTTGAATAAGATGGATATCAAGAAACACACAATTCCAAATTCAAGTTTCTTGGATGCTATGGGACAATTTGGGCTTCTGGGAAGAGTCACAAATAGGAATTACCAAGCAGGAATTGAGGGAGATAAGTGTCCAGTTAATGTTTCACACGTCACAAATAGGAATTACCAAGCAGGAATTGGGGGAGATAAGTGTTAATGTTTCACATGGGCTTGATAACAGGATAACCATTTTTTTCGGGCATCTTAATGTACGGGGCAACTGAGGTAATGCCAAGCAGGGTCAGGCTGTGCTAGCCACATACAAGCCCTTAAAAACAGAGTTAATGAAGGACACGAGCATTGCAGCTCCTTGCTAGAAAGCCAAGGGACAGATCTCCACACGTTAGTCTACGGAAAGTTGTCAAAGTAAAGGCAAATGAAGAATCAAAGCAGTTGTAAATAAATTCCCATTCCCACTACATTTTTCCTTATGCCACAAAATAATGCTGACAGAGCTGTGAAGGGAATTTTTCCTTATGCCACAAAATAATGCTGACAGGAGCTGCGAATCACAGCGTGAAGGGAAGGGGCTGCTTCTGACAACAGCAGCGCGAGGAAAGCGGGATGGAGATAGGGAAGGAAGGAAAAGCTGGGTGTTTCTGGGGCGTGCAGCTATTGGGAGGTACCAGAAAATAACAACCAAGATACAAAAAGCAAACGAGCATGCAGGAAAGGGAAGGAACGCCATACCAATGGGCATGGGGCATCCAGGCCGTCCAGCCCGGGTAACCCCGGCTCACCCTTCTCGCCTTTAAAACCTCGGAGACCCTGTTTATGAAATCAACCACTATCGTTATTTCAGTTGGTGCCAGTCACCTCCGTGTCACGGGAGGGGAGGCTGAGTCCCCCGCTGGGACTGGCCCAGGGCACTCTGCTGCATACCCAGAATACACACAGCCCATCGTTTCAGCTTCAGTTCTGTCTCCACAATCAGCAGTAGCAGATTCTTTTCTGTGTTTCTGTAATCTACAAGTCAGGAGATACCTCTCCTCCGAGTTAAATCAGAGAGGATGAGAATGGTATTTCCTCTGAAGTGGTCCACTCTTCCTATCCTCACTAGGAAACCCAGCAGCTGGATTTCTAGATGCGTGATTCACAAGTACTCCTGGACTTTATGGCAGCACTACAGATTTTTGGCAATGCTTGCTGCAGTGTATGAGTTTAGATGAAAGTGTATACATAGTCCTAAATTTACTCATTTGCCTAGACTTATAGACAATCTATTTTGACAGAAACATATCCCATTTAAAACAACTGAGATTTGTTTTCCCTCTGGGTAATACAGCTCAAGTGCCCTGTGTCACTCTCAGGCGATCCCATCAGCTGCCGTTATTCCAAGGCAAGAAAAACAGCATCCAGGTTCTGCCATGACGTAGACATGATGACACTGAACATCTCCAGAGAAGAACCGTAACCAGCAGCAGGGGAGACACAGGGCTCTGTCCACAAAGGAGAAAGCCCTGGGTTCCCAAGCACATGGGACACCCCCACGTACCCCAAACCTTTGTGAGGTCCAGAAGAGGAAGGAACATAACCATGGTCACCCAAGGGCCTGATTGATCAGTGGCTCCCCGCTGAAGAAAGCAGCTTTGCCATAGGATGCAGTGGGAACCAGGCTTATCCAAGTGTTGTACTTTTGCAAGACCATTATTTATGTTATGATTTCCTTCTTTCTTCCCCATCAACAAATCTTAAAACAATACATTTGATGAAACAGAACATACCAACGGACAGGGTGCATCTAATCCAGGCGCTCCTTGGTCTCCCTTATCCCCTTTAGACCCTCTAGAGCCTTTCTTGCCCCTCTCCCCCTGTAAATAATAGTTTAGTCCAAGAAAAAAAAAAAAAAAAAAAGAATACACAAAAGCTTTAGGATCATCCATTTCAAACAAATGTCAGCGATAGTTTAAAAAAAAGGATAAACATTTACGAAACATTTTGAGAGAAGAGAAACCTCCCTTTGAGATGTTAAGTGAAAAACAACATATGGAGCTACTAATGGTTGCTGAGCTGCATAAACACCTTGGCCATTGCTAAAATCCCACACTGACAGACTAGGGTGACGTCTAGATGCTTGGTGCCTCAGGTGGCAAGACCTGCAGCAGAGACCCCCAGCAGCTGTAGTAGGGAGGCACTGCTGGCACACATGCCCTGGGTTAATTGTATTTATCTTACCACTCTGAATTCTCATTCTTAAAGAAATCATCACTCATGGGACTATTTTTAGAAGCTTTCCCTTAAACTGTTTAATGAACACTGCTTGCCACCAGGGCTTGCTAGCTTTTCCTTAAAAGCTAGGGGGGTGCTTTTTTTTTTTTTTAATATGTACAATTACTTCCACATCCCAGAGCAGCAAAGCTTTAACTTGAATGACTGTGCTTGCCTGAGTCTTACAGTGCACTGGGCTGCGTCCACATTGCTAAATAGAAAAGAGCCAGAGAATGAAGGAAGTACTTGGCCCCCACAGTCTGCACAGCCTGGTTGTCCTTTGGGATGCTCCGAGTAGTGCTCCCCCAGGAAAAACAAGTTTGACAAGGACTAGTCATAGGCAGCACGGCCACAGGGCAGCCACTGGTCCCTGCTCCTCTCATTTAGCAGCGCAGACACATCCCAGGAAGGTGTGATTCTGACAAGGGTTTGATACTACAGTTTTCCTGCAGCTCCAGTTTGAGTTACGCTAAAGCCAGGGCAGGAGGGAAACAAATTAAATCATAACCAAAGAGGAGGCTTGCTCTCTCGTGAAGAGAATTAGGTCAATGAAAGCCATAGCTGCAAGAGGGGCTGAGGGAATGCCCATATACCCCTCCTCACCAAGGGAGGACACATCCCACGGGTGGTAGTTCAGCCAAGGCAAGGTATGGCATGGGTATTCGATAGCTGTGCCTATACCAAATCTGTCTGTATTAGAGGAAATTCTCCAAGCTGCTGAGCATAAAACAAGGGAAGGGGCTGCAGCACAGGGAATTGAATTTAGGGTCCTTGTGGGGAAGGTTAAAGGAATTAAGGGATAAAATTAGACAGCACAGGTTGCTGTTTCCTCTTTAAAGGAAAAAAAAAAAATGTTAAACCCAAAGCTGGCAAGAGAAATGGATGGGAGAGGAGAGGCAATGAGGAGGAGTCACCCAGAACCAAGCACTGGAACAGAGGATAATCCAGGAAAATGCAGCATGGGTTGCTCTGAGGAAGGAGGAAGGAACCAGGAAGAAAGGTGGAAGAGGAGGAAGGGATAAAGGGGACAAAGGTGGACCTGTAGGAGCAAGGAAGATGCACATACACACAAGAAAAAAACAAAACAAAACAAAAACACAGGCATTAAAATAACAGTGAAGGTATCAGGCTGGTAGCACAAGGTCAGGGTTTACACTTTTTCAGCTGGGTTACTTGAAAGGCCGTCTGTTCCCATTGCTGCCCAGGGCCACGGTCCTGTCTCTGCCTGTCCCCAAGCCTGGGCAGTACTCCCACCCCAAACCAAGGGCAGCAGGAGCATTTCTGGGGTTTAAAAAGCACTGGGCTGCCTAAAGGAACGAAGAGGATTTGGGCAAACTGGTTGGGAGCTTAACAAAGTAGATCCTCCTTTCTGATGTGCTTAACACTGAAAATCTTCCCATTAAAGTGCTATGCATGCAAAGCAAGTCCTGGGGAACCAACACCGTGTCTGGTTCTGCTAAATGGTACCTGTCAGATGTCTCTGATGATTTCACAGGGAAATCATTCAGACAAAACAGCTGTGTTTGGTGTGTGACTCACCAAAACTGTGCTGTTTAACTCCTGTAAGGAGGTCACAATTTTTAAAGAGGGGCAGGAGTGCAGGGAACCACCTGTACAAAGGCTCAGTGGGGAAAAGTGGTTGTTTTCCAGGACCCTGCCTCGTGCAAAGGTATTGCACTTGCCCATTTACAGTCTCAAGCTTCTCACCCTTTTTTCATTTCAAAATATTGGTTGCAGTGAGGCAAAGTGCATGCACACTTCAAGGGCTCAGCAAAGCTTCCCACTCGTGCTTTCCAGCTCATCTTCTAGGTGCAGTTTCTCTCAGTCTTCATTTGTTTTTGTGGGGGAGCTCAGAGAAATCCTGCTCAGCTAGTGAAAGGTCCTTCTTTCTAAAAAGCCACCAAGTTCAAAAACCAACTGAAAAAGTCTAGGAATTCTGTTGAAGTTATGTTTTTGTTTAGAAGCCACACAAACAAAACGAAACGTATCTCAGCGAAAAGGAAGTTAAGAAGCAAAGCCAGAAATGCAATGATTAAAGAAGGGGAGAACTTTGGAGCTGCTGTGAAACTTGGACCTTTCTCCCCTAGTTTAAGATGCCAATTGGCTACTGCTTTCCAAAACTGCCCATTCTGTGCAGAGTAAGGTCAGAAAGATATTGCAGATAAAGGACAGAGAACACTCACTATGTATCAAAAGCAAATTCATATAATGAAATCACCACATGGGCACATGCACTATAAAAAAAATTAACTTTACATTTTTAGATAAACTGAGGTGATACCAGAGTCTTATGAAGAGAAGGTGGATGTGTGAGTACGTGCATAAAGGCATACATACTATACTGAACTGCTTAACATATTTATACAGACATCTTACAAAGACTCTTAATCCAGTCATTTACATTTCTAAATATAAATTATATTCAATTATAGCTCTCAGCTGTTTTCATCAAAAAAATACAGAGCCATAACAGGCAAGAAATTCCTTATGCTGTGGAAAACCTGATGAAAAAGCAAGGAGCTTCTCACCATGCACTTTTTAGTAACGTTTATCTTTCTGTAACACAGGTGGTATGGCAGAAAAGCAGCCACTCATGTTATTGGTTTGAACCTAACTCTTCACCATCACATCCATTCAGGACAATGCCTGAGGAGACTTCACATCTGATTCTTTAAAATAGGCGAATTTAATTTATCTTTTCCAAATTTCCATCTTTCAAATTCTCTGGAGGATCGTTTGCCAGAGAGCAACCTTCTTTTTCGTGCTTCAAGGGGAATTTAAAAGTAACGTAGTAAGATTTGCTGGCTCCACCTCAGTTAATTCTCCTGGGAATCCCTATATGCATCAGTAAAGAGGTGAGCAGGATTTCCTAAAGCATTCCACGTTGACCTAACTCTACTGCACATGAAGTCCCGAGCTTCAGTGAGAACAGAGCTACGACAACAATGAACACGTTAGAAAATCCCTCCTATAGCTCTCAGATGTACCACAACGCCTCAGGTGATTATACGAGCTGCAGGTATCACCCTTTAAAACACAAGTTTGTAAAGTTACTTCTGTGAAGGTCTAGCAGACAGAATTACATGCTGGCTACTTGGGGTTGCTCAGGAGTTAACCGGTCTAACGTGAAGACATTAGTAACTCAACACAAGGAGTTTGCTTGGTAACTTACCCGGATTCCTTTGTCACCAGGTAGACCTTGTAAACCCTGAAACACATCAACACAAAAAAAGAAATATTTTAAAACAAGTAGATCCCATTGTATTCCCACTGAAAAAGAAAAACATGTACCCAGGAATTTGTTTGTTTGTTTTTTCCATTTATACCAATTGCTCTACAGTAAAAAAACCCAAACACCAAAATCCCAACTTTTCCAGCAGACATCCTCCTCTTCACCTCCACTAGGCCACTCAGGCTGAAACACCACAACTGCTACTCTAAAGGTTCTTCAGATAAAAACCAAACCAGTTTAGAGAATGCAGTCCCTGAAAATAAGCAATCAGGGGCTTTTTTTAACACAAAAAACTTCTTTTTTTGTGTGTTAAACAACAAAGCAGCTCCATAATTACATAAAACTGAGTTCCAACACCAACCCCATTCTGCAAAAAGTCATCCCAAACGATGGAAGTAACCTCCCTGAAGGCAGCTTTTGTCACTGTGATGACAAGACAGGGCCTCCTCAGACAAGTGTAAGGCAGGTACCCAAGCTAGGAAAAAGGCAAACAGAGCAGATGTGCTCAAAAGCAGCATTTTGGACTAAGATAAATATCCTGGGAATCCCGTGCAGCTTCTTTTGGTAGTCTGGGGACCAAGGTAACTAACAGCTTCCCTTCTTCTGCCTCATTCTGAATCAGTGCTCTGAAGCTACCAGGCTCTCCCTGTTGCTCTGTAGTGTACAGAAGCTTGTAACTTTGGCTCTTGAACACCTAACCCAGCTGAAATGGCCAATGCTGCAGCAACAAATCCCATACTTACAGGAAGCCCTGCTGGCCCCATTGGTCCAACAACTCCAGGATCTCCTTTACTGCCCTGAAATGGAGACAAAAGAGCATTAACATTCCTATTCAGTACGAACTGGCAGCACAGCATTACTATAGAAGAGAAGTAAAAGACCTGTTTCAAAGCACCTAAAAACCCCACGAATGAGATACTCAAAAACAAGCTGAGGGTCATATACACTGAAGGAGAAAGCAGTTTCCAGCTCTAGAAAAACCTAGAGCTTCTCTATCCCAGAGAGCTGTGACATCTTCAAAGAGGCTACAGAGCATCGGTCAGTTCTGAAACAAACTCACCCTTTCTCCTTTTGGTCCTGCTGGTCCCGAAACCCCAATTGGTCCTGGAGTACCCTGTAGTTGCAGGAAGGAAAACACATTAGGACATTTTAATTCTAGAGCTTCATTAAAGCCAGGAGACACTGTTGCTCCTTTAGGAAAAAGCGCAGCTGGGAAGGACAGTCTGGTGGTGGCAGGCATCTAGCACCACTACAGCTTTCAGTGTTGGTAGTGATGGATTCGGAGCAGTCGTGGTAGGCAATTTGAAGAACATGGGAACTGCTACATCAGATCACACCAGCACCATTTTGAGGAGCCTTATTTTTAATTTTGAAGCTATCTCTTGACAATTGTTACAGCAGGCATTTCTACCAGTTCCACAGGAGGGAATTTTTTTTCCTTTAGTTTATATCGGACAAGGCTGAAAGCTGTAGCAGAATAAAGGCCATTTAGACGTGTGATAAAGCAATTTCCTTCTCTTTATTTGCTTATTTTCTTTCCCACCCCCGGCATCAGCTGAGATGAGTGAAAATGAGAGAGTGTGGTTACTTGGTGGCAGGCCAGCCAGTCAGGCATGCGAGCTGACAGACACCATGCTGCAGAGATGTGTACAGAGACAGATGCAGACTAAGAGGGGGATCATTCAGTCCCAGTCCCTCTGTTCCCTTTTTGCCATTTATGTCACTCCACCAGGCTCTTCATCATCAATGCTAACAGGAAACCCCGCTCTTTTGATCTGGGAATTTGATCTCCAACTGCCTCATAGAGCCTTGATAAAGAGATCCTTTTGAAGCCCATTACCTGCCTTCTGGGAAGGACAAAGGAGGAAGCTTCCTCAATAGGGAAGTATTTTTCTAACAGCCTTTAAGGAAAAGGGTTTTGCAATCCTTAGTCATGGAATTAACCCCTTGGATGTGAGCAGGATGAGCCATAAGTCATTAACTTCAGACCAGTTAAGATCTGCAGAATATCAGTGGAGGGGTGGTTCATGTAGCACACAACTTCAGTGCAGCAAAGGAAGTCAGAAAAATCAGGTTCTCCTTAGATTCATGCTCAGGAGTTCATATCATGGAAATCTTAATTGCCTGCACATTTGCATCGTTTTAAGATCATTTAGTGCCGTGAAATACAGTGCCATCTCACCTGCACATTTATAAAATTAAACCTACAATTTCCCCAAACAAGTGGGTGTATAAACTGCCATTCAGATCCTGTTCAGAAGTTAGAGCAGCCGAATTATTTCCAGTTACACTGAGGAGAAGAAATTGCTTTTTTTCTTTTTAGATAACCAAATGCATTGTCCATGGGTGATGCATGATTCCCTGAGAGGGATTAAAAAACACTTCACCCTTATTTAACAGCTTGTACCCAAGGAGAGCAGAACAGTTTGCAGAAGCAGGTTGGCATTACTTGTCTCATTCTGAATTTGACAGATTGAGCAGCACAGGCACAAGGAGTCTTTTTTCTTCATATCTCACAGTGAGTGAGCAACAGGACAGGGGGATCTTGCATCTTCCCCCTCCACTCCTAGATGTCACTACCTCTCAGATGTATATACTAGACCCGAACACACCCCCATGTATCTGGGACTAAGGAAAGCACGTGCAGAGCTGCTGAAGGTGCATGGCATTCTGCTGCTGAGAGGCAAAGGGCTAGTCCTGCTGCCAGAAGGTCTTTTAGATGCAACTTCTCCTCGTGGTGAGATGCTTAGCAGGAGAGATACCTGTAAGCATACCCATGGCGATCGAACCTTAAGTGCTGTGTGTGGAAACAACACACACAGCTTTTTGCCCACAGGACAAAACACACTGGCATTATCATGCCTAGGACAAAACTGAAGAGCTACTGTCGTGAGAAGGTGGCAAGCGAGGCTACCACGGAGAACAACAGGGTAGAGACCCCTCAAAAAAATAGAGGACAGAACAGAGCATCGTGGAACCATGCAGAGGTTTCATTCATCTTGTTATTGAGATAAAGTGGAACAAGTAGGCTGTGATTCCGGGATCCAGATAGACTCATAGCATCAAAAAAGACAAGCGTGTGACATCACTTCTCAGTCTAAGTATAACCCCCCAGCCCCGCCCCAAGCCTGCTTTGGAGAAAAGGTGGTTATTTCAGGTGTAAACAAGACTCTGGTGGAAGAGACGAGACAAATCACGATACTGGGGAGGAGGAACATGGGGTAATGGAGAAATGGAACTCACCGGTGGTCCAGGCCTGCCGTCTAAACCTGAAGCACCCTGAACAGACGGGGAGGGTTAACAAAAACAAGGCAAGAGGGGAGGAGGGTGAGGGGGAAAGGAGAGGGGAGGGGAGAGGTGAGTGAAGCAGTGACTTGAGACAAACATATGCTTGCAATCAACAACAATTAAGATCTCAAGGACAGGTGATGGTACTTACAAGCAAACCAACAAAAACATAGAAACACTGAATACATGTAATGCTGACCTGCAACTTTCAGATCCCCTTAAGAACACAAATTTTCCTCTCTCAGTGCCACCAAGGAAACCCCTGAGGAAGAAGCTCTTCTGTGACAGGTGATGAAAAGGACAATGCGACAGTGGAGCTGGAACATGCATTGCCTTTGTGGCAGACTGGGCAACACAGCTCAGGAGGAGTGACATGAAAAGCCAAGGGACCCTGGTTTCTCATGGGGCTCCCTGCTGCAGGACAGCCCGTTAGCACATTCCCTGCCACACTGATAAACTTGTCAGGATAACTGCTTCTGCTCAGCCTGTCACAAGGACCTCCTTCCCTAGCCTGATACCACAGTCTTGAAGGAGTAACTGTTTACACAGAAAGCTTGCCTTTGCATTTCTTGGGGCAAAATAGGGACTGGGTTTTTACTTCTCACTGCTTCACTGAGGCAGAATCCTTTGCATTTCAGCCTCCTGAAAGCATCACTTTCTCCACACTGGCTCTGCACAGAGCCACAGCGAATGCCCTCACGAGGAGCTCACTTGAGCACCCAGAGTTAGATGAGGTGCATCCACACCCTAGAAGGTACCTGCTACATAGCACAACTAAAAGAGGAAAATGTTTTACAAACAAAGACATGCACATTTCAGCCAAAGTCAGGGACAAGGGATCTGGGTGATCAAACACAGGCCAAAGTCACACAGTACACAAGAGGTGCTTTGCAGTGCTTGTTTCCAGGCAGTACCTTCAGCAAAAGGAGAGGGTGTGCTCTGCCACCAGTGCCTTTTATGAGGAGAGAGCTCAGGGGCTGGCAGAGCAGCTGGATGGGACTGAGTTACCACTAATTCATCATCAGCTGTCAGCTCAGACCACGGGTGAAGAGGCTTTTAGCAGATGTGAGCCAGGAGCTTCACAAAGTCGTCAGGTTTGTATCTAAAGCGCCTGTAGCTTCTTTATAATTCTGCCACAATTCCTCCTTGCTAAGCTAAACAGCACACTAACACTAGCCCAGGGTGACAGAGCTCACACACAGCAGGGAACACAGCAGGCTTCTACCCAGTCAGGGAAAGCACCAATTCCACTGCAGAAGTGAGAGGGAAGTACTGCCTCATGAAGCAGCTGGATGCGTTCAGACCCACCAAGCTTTTGTACCAAGTTTGGCCCAGGTGACAAATGGCTGGGAAGATGCTTTCTTTTCTACACTTTTTTGACTTCTGTTTCTGGTCATCCCCCAGTGCTCTGAAGCGCAAAGAACTCACGGGAAAGCTACTGCTTATTTTTCCCATTCCTGCCAGAAGCAGGAAGAATTGAAGCGATCACTGATCTGTTTAACAGATCTAAAAGATGAAGGCTCCATAAAGAAATTGGGGCTTTAAGTTTAAAAAGCAAAGGCACACTTATTTATAGATCATCTCTTTCTTTGACTTTACATATCAAATCCCTGCGTGCATCTCCAATTGAGGGATCATTTTACAGCTGATATAAGTTTGGCTCATAAAGTGTTGCTTGCTTCCTGGATACTTACGGGTAATCCCAGTGGCCCTCTGTCTCCTTTTTCACCCTGGGCACCCTTCTCTCCTTTCATTCCATCAATCCCTGCTTCCCCCTAAAGGAAGGATGGAGCAGAAAATAAACCCACCATAACACCACTTATATAACAAACATTCCTCCCTGCGGAGAGCGCTGAAGCGGCAGAGAGAATACAAGAGGCAGCAGAGCAAGGCTTTAAACCTAATTCTCAGCCCAATCTGTAGAAAACCAGCATCAGTCAAATGACCTCCGAGTGAGGTCACTTGGTTTTAATCCATGGCAGCAGGAGGAGATTCAGGCCCAGTGGGTGAAGATGGTCAAAGAGGAACTGAGCTCACTTCTGCGTTGCTCTCCCTGCTATTGCAGAGTGTGTCAGGTAAATATAAGTAACCAGAAGTTATATGATAGGGTGGTTTTACATTTTAAGGTGTGGATTCATTGGAATTGAATGTCAGCTGTCTATAAGCTTTGGCGGGGGGAAAAGTCATACTGAAATATTTTTTGAAGGGCTTTTGTAAATGCGAAGGTATCAGTTTCAAAATTCAGAAAAAAATTCATCATCTCTTTTCCAATGGTATTCTTTAAATTCTGTATTATAAACTATAAAGTAGTACTAAACAAAAACATACCTTTTTCACAAATTCAAAATGCAACTCAAAGCTTTTTCCCCCACACTCCTGTTCGTAAGGCATTTTAAAACAGTATCTTGGTTGCATTTCGAAACAGAAGTGTCAGCAGAACCAAGTTTGCACAGAAACAGTAATCCTGCTCGCCATACTCTGCTGCAGGTGTAGGACAGCACGCTGCTGGCTCTCCCCACCAGCAGCCCAGTTACCATGTGCCACTGCCCTACCTGCAAAGGGAATAAAATGCTCTTTTCCACCTCTACTGAAAGCTTCATTACACAAAGACTTATTACAAATTGCAGGGATGGAACAGAAGAAGAACTTCCACACCCGGGACATCTCATTGCACCTGCTAATAAAGCCTTCATCGATCTTCTGTCCAAGGAGAAGCTGGGGCAGTACTTCCTCCACCTATAATCCAGCCTGTGCTGTGCAAGGCTTTCACCTGCACTCGTTTGGCACATATTCCAAAGGCAACTGCACCTTACAGAAGTTTCCCAGACACATGATAGCAGTGGCTAGTGACCTGTGCTGTGCAAGGCTTTCACCTGCACTCGTTTGGCACATATTCCAAAGGCAACTGCACCTTACAGAAGCAGTGGCTAGTGAGTTACAGACAAGCAAGACAGATAACTGTATCTGTAATCAACATATTTAGATGGAGATTAGAAAGCTTCTGATCTCCAGGAACAGCGAAGTTCTTGAGTGGCTTTACGGCATGATTTAGGGGGTATAGAAACTGGCTAATTTTAGGCAAGAGCTCAGTTACTTTGGGTTGTATGATAGGCTGTCCATCCTGTGGTACAGACCTTCACCCTTCAGACAAAGATTTCAACTATGTTCTCATGGGAAGATTTCCAAAGGCCAGTGGCTTCCCACTTCTCTAGGTGAAAACTGGGGAAAGTTACTGGTTTTCTGGGTCCTAAAGTGAGAGCTGCCGATCCATTTCCTTCAAGTAAATATTCAAAAGTCTTTTCCTCTTACCAAGGCAGTAAAAAACACTTGCAAGCTAAGTTCTTGCAGCTGAGACAGTCTAGTAGAATTTCAGGATGTAAAGTTTGACAGACTTACCTTGGGTCCTGGGAGGCCCTGAAGACCCTGCATTCGGGATGAGAGACAAAATATGAGTCATGTTTAAGGATGTGCTTTAAAACCCAGGTATCCCAGTTCAGTGTGCAGCACTGAGCTTTGGTTTTGACATGCAGAGGGCACAAATGTTTAGCCCAGAGGCCTCTTTATTTGGGTAAAGGGCACTTCGTGTACCATTCTCATCTGGTGGTGAGGAGGCTTTTGCCAAGAACAACCTGGCAGCAGGCCAGGCTTGCTATTAAGACCATTTTTGCAGTTGATCCCTTTAATCCCATCCATCCCCTCTTGCGACTGTCTTCCCTTTCATCTCAGACTAACATAACCTTCTCTCTTTTCCTACCCAGCCCCGTCGCAGCTCTGACCTACCCTGGGGGCTGATTTTGGATTTCCTGTTTCAACACTGGAGTGTTTCTGGCTGTTTTCTCCACCCAAAATCCTCCCCAACCACTTCCCGCTCTATCCTCGTTCCTAGTGCCTTGCTGCTCAGGTGAATTACTCAAAACTTACTGGTGGTCCTGGTGGTCCTTGGGGTCCAGGAGGGCCAGATATCTAGAAAGCAATGCAAGAGAAGTCACTGTTGTAATCTGCTGCCCTCAGCAGGTGAGGGGGAACTGCTCAGAGGGGAGACGGGGTAAAAAGTATAGTTGAGCTCTACCAGGCTTGGAAACCTGGATTCCCCTTAAGGACTACGTTAGGAAGTGACAGCAATCCAGGGCAGAGTGGCTGAGAAACAGCAGCAGGACTCTGGGGAGGGTTAAGCAGCAGTTGCAGAGATTTAGGAGGAAGGAGAGCAGTGAAATTTTTATATATATATATATATTTTTTTTTATTATTATTATTTTTTTTTTTTTCAGAAAAAGGTTCACTTCCACTACTCTACTGCTGTTCCTGCAAGGAGGCACAAGGTCAACAGCTAACAGCTGTTTCAAAAGACAGGAAAGAAGGTGGCTGGCTCCACACACACAGAAGAGTGTATTGATGGCCTATGGGACTCCTTGCTGCAGGGCAGTACAAAAGCTAGGGTGAGCTTTGAGGAGAGAAAGGATAAATTCATGAGCCCAAAAACTATTGAAATATATGTAAAGAGCGATGAAATTTTTATATATATATATTTTTTTTTTTTTATTATTATTTTTTTTTTTTTTTTCAGAAAAAGGTTCACTTCCACTACTCTACTGCTGTTCCTGCAAGGAGGCACAAGGTCAACAGCTAACAGCTGTTTCAAAAGACAGGAAAGAAGGTGGCTGGCTCCACACACACAGAAGAGTGTATTGATGGCCTATGGGACTCCTTGCTGCAGGGCAGTACAAAAGCTAGGGTGAGCTTTGAGGAGAGAAAGGATAAATTCATGAGCCCAAAAACTATTGAAATATATGTATGTAGAAACACACAAGTATTGTTCAGGAAATTCCTTTACCACAAATGCCAAGGAAAACATTTGTTATGCTTTCCATGATCTATTCTTCCCTAGGCACTCGTTATTGATTGCTTGTCGTGAGCTAGATAGTTCTTGTGTAAGGGGAAAGCAGGACATCAAGAGCGAGAGGTGGCTGGCAATTCAGTCCCACAAGATGAAGCTTGCTGTGTGCAATGAAGGGTGTGCCATAAGAGGGTGGGATGTGTGGGTTTCCAGCAGAGATGCTGCCAAATCATCCCTGCCTTACTGCCGAGATTGCAGAAGGAAAATGAGAAAGGTGACCTACCGATTCTCCTGGATTTCCTTTGTCACCACGCTCCCCAGGCTGGCCCTTCTCTCCCTGCACACAACAGACCCTGTCACCACCAGCAGTACCCTGGAGTATCACTCCGTTAGAAGCCATCCATGAACCCCCCACGTGCTGACAAGCAGCAGGTCCCCAAAGGAGGAGCAGGAACATATCGTTTCTTTCACAAAGAGTTCACCTGTGGCTCTCGTGCACCTCTGCTTCCAGAGGAGACATCCTACAGAGAGGGAGGTCTCCAAGATCAGATCTGGTGGCTGCACGAGGGGAGTGCCACAGGGCTTTCTTTGCCTTTCCCCAACACCTTTTCCCCACCTGACACCTCTCTGCTGCACCACAGCCTCTGAGAGGGAGCACAGCAAGCGGGTCTTTAACAGTGCCTTGCTGCCAGCAAACTGGGCTGACTTAACCACACGGGCTCTGCAGGGAGCTGCCAGAGCCAGCACCTCCAGGCAGCAACAGGAGCAGATGCCCAGCTGGCCCCCTGCCTGCTGCTGGAGACCCGAGGGACATCTGGTGACACCCAAACACCTAACTCTAAGGGGCAGAGGGCTGAGGCTCCCGAGGTATTCAGCGCTTTGGGAGATGAACCCTTGTGTGTTGCTCTATGCTGTTTTGGTTTTGCCAAGCAGGAAAGAACAGCCTGTCTTTTTCACTCTTACTGTCAATCCTGGAAGTCCAATGGGACCCGGCAATCCTGATGGTCCTGGCATCCCTTGGTCACCTCGTTCACCTTTCTCTCCAGTGGGGCCATCAAGACCCTATGGATCAAGAAAGATTTGTGGATTTTATGCAAGACTAAGTCAGGCAGGCATACGAGACATCATTGAGACTGGCTCTGGTCATCCCAAGAACACACTGAAAAGCCAGGACAACCACCAGGTGCCCAGGGAAATGCAAGGCTTCTCTAGTATTGGAACTGGATGTGCAAATGCCTGAATATCCTCCTGTTGTTGTGGACGTGCCAGTCCCCAGAGCAGGGATGAGCACTGCTTTCCTGCCTCCAAGTTCTGCTCATGGTTACGCAGCTTGCTGGAGTCAGTGCTAGAAACCACTCCCCAATAGACAGCTGTCTTGACAGCAAAAGTTTCATCCTGGTGATCTAGTAAAGAGGCACAAACTCATTCCATAAAACCCTCTTGACTAGTGCTGGGGACACAGAAGCTGCGACAGACTGAAGCTGGGAGACCGGGCGCTCTGCCCCAGTTAGCAGCAGGGATGTAAGGGGTTACCACCCTCCTAGGAGGGTGTGTGTGCTGGTACCTCAGCTGCCTTGCTCATAGTCAAGCCTGCTTGCTCACAGCAGCATTTCAGGTTAAGCAACGTGCCAGGCAGCAAGCTTAGGAAGTGACCCAATGCCCAGACAGCAGGGCAGGCAGCTGGGTACAGCTGCTCCAGCAAGGTGGACAATACATCTTCCAGGGAGCAAAGACCTTGCTTCTGTATTGGTACACTTCATACAGCAGCTATGAGGTGCCTCCAGCACCCGCCCTGGGGGGCTCTGAGGTATCTGAGAAGTCCCAGGGCATTGACCCATAACCTGGGTAGCCACCAGTGCTCCCAGAGGCTTCAGTTTACTCACCGGTGAGCCCGCTTGTCCTGGCTCTCCTTTATCGCCCTTTTCTCCTGTGGCCCCCACATGGCCTGGCTCCCCCTTTATTCCAGGTTGTCCATCCTTCCCTGGCAGTCCGTGAGGGCCAGGGGGACCCATTTCTCCAGGCTTGCCACGTGGTCCCTAAAAGAAATCCACATAAAAGAGTGAAACACTTACAGATAAGAGCAAGGTTAGTCCTGCAGGGTGACTCTCTGGCCCACAGCCTCTTTCACTGCTCATCCTCTCACTCACAGTAACGCCATTTGAGGCATCGTGGGCAGGACAAAGTAGATTTTCTGTGTTATCCAAACTGCTCCTTATAAGTTAGGACTTTGATAAACCTTTAATGCTCATTTTTGTGAAGCGAAATACTTTTTTCCTCTGTGGGAAAAGCAACTGTGGATGTCAGTGGCAGAGATATAACACAGCAATTTCAGATGAGACCCTGAAGGAAAGAGCAATCCACAGAGGCACTGTGTCTTACCTTTTCTCCATCATGGCCTGGAGGACCTGGCAAGCCAATTTCACCCTGAAACACAAAATTGTTACTTTGGCAGTTCAAAAGTAGCCATTCTGACTCCTACATTCATTGTGATGATGAGGGGTGGGAATTACAGAAACAGTCTGCAGGGACTGTAGTAACTAACAGTCTCAGGAGAAAAAACAACATGGAAACCCCTGTTGAAACAGTACATTTTATGACTTCTTAACAATTTCACCAGCCTGTTTATCCTGACTGATAGCTCACAGCCCCAGTGCTTATAGCATAGTCCCCAAACAACACAATCCCTGCACAGAGATCAGTTTCCATAAGCTGCTTCCTAAAGGGGAGGGCAAGTAGAAAGGATCCATCGTCTTTCAGATAAAGCATTATCATTGTGGGAAAATAAATTTTCAGGATATTGTCCATGAGGAGGAGTGGTAGAGGCCAGCAGGACAGTCTGGTGGTGCTGGACAGGGAGAATAGGAGCCCTGGGGAGGGTGGTTGTGGCAGGGGGAATTCTGACTGGATGGCTCATGTGTTTCCCTTACACCTGCAAGCGTCCAAGTGAGCAAATACCTTCTGTCCTGGTGGTCCTGGTGGTCCTGGAAGTCCTGGGGGTCCCTAGATGAAGAAAAACTCATTTTCAGATTATCATCAGCACTTTTATTTTCATGTTTTGAAACCAAACAACTATTTTGAGTTTAAGGGGAAATCGCAGGGGAACTTTCCCAAAGACTCCTACAATAGTATCTGCTTGGGAAGCTGGGCAATGGAGAGGCCTGAGTGAGCAGCAGACCAGTCCAAAGGAAGTTGTAGATACGTGTGTATTTCTTTACATTTTCATGGAAGTAAATGAGAATTACCACCGCTGTCTGCTCCTGAAACCAAGATGAACGTAACAAGGTTTTCCCTTCCTATCTACAAAAGTAGATATTCAGAACAGAGACCACAGGAAACACTGTACTACTTAGATCCCAAGCACAGCTTAAGCAGAGCTAAACAGCACTAGTATTTGGAGCAGATGTCCTGATCACTCTTGGCAGCCACCACTTTAAGGAGACCTGGGGAGCAAATGGTGCTACTTACATCCATTTTGTGCTGCCCTGTAATACTGCATTTTAAAAATCCATCTTTTTTCCTAACCAGGTTTCTTAACCAGGATGCTTTTTCCCTTATTCTGTCTCAAAAGAGCTACTTTGCCTCTCTTTGTTTTCAAAGGGCTTGTAGTCACTGCTGTTGTGAATAATCGGCTTTGTACAGGACTGCTATGTTGAGTTACACTTATCAATGGTGAAAATACATCCTTCCCTCCCATCACAGAAAGTGCCTACCACAGACTGCCAGTATAAACTTTTGTGCAAGGCACCCAAAGCCTCCTTTTTCTCTGCTTTGGTCAGTCCCCCTTGCTCGTCCCTGCTTCTTCTGAGCAGCATGTATTACCTCTTAAACCAGATAAATAATGGGCTTGGTCAGAATTCAAGTACCACAACCAGAAGGCAAGATGAGCTGTTCCTTCAGCTGTCAGCTGCCCCAGCTTTAGCTCCCAACAGCAAAGGCCAAATGTTTTAGCTGCACCTAAATTGTCAGGCCACCTGCGCAGGATGAACACATGGCTACTGCTTAAAACCACACAGCAAAGCTAGGAACTCACCATCAAGGCCAAAGTTCGGATTTCCTAGAAAAAAAGTAAAAAAAAAAAAAAGAAAAATGAAAAAAGGAAAAGAGTCATTTGAAAGCTCAGCTTTTTCCTGGAAGTGGTTTGTTCTCCACTAACGTAAGAATGAACAAAAGCAAAAAAACCCAGCTCTGAGTCCCACAGAGCCGTTATTCTATGATTTTCCCCTTTTCTCAAGTAGAAGCCAGGCTAACCCAGAGCTGGGCACAGCTGCTCACTCACTGCAGACCATCAGTGCACACTTCCGATGAAGCTCTGCAGTCTTTTTATTCTGCTCCAAGTCATGGGCCACTCCTGACAGGGTTCTCATGACCTCTATGTCCACCAGTGTTAATATTATCAACTAAACAAGATGTACGAGTATTTACCAAAACACTACATGCACTAAGCTGTAGGATGAAGAGGATCATGGAACAACCAAGCACTTCCTTTTACTGCTACTGGTGAGGATGCCAGATCTACATTGTTCCTGTGTTTCTGCATCCTCTGGGAAACAGTGAAGCAACCAGCAGTACCTCACGGGACAGGAAGGCAGATGCTCACCTGGAGAGCTTCACTGATATTACCATCGTAGTCCATCATCTCATCCTTCCCAGGCTCTCCTTTGGGGCCCTGCAAAATACCATCTCTTTAGCCAGGGCTTAGGGATTGGCCCTTCCCATGGGCTACTCAGAGCTGCAGGTCACCCTGAAAGGGGGTCTTGGAGGACCCTGTTTCACGAGCCTCTAGTTTTTCATTTATTGAGTAGAGCTCTTGAAAGCACATTTTATAAGGAAACGCTACCAAAGTGTAGCCAGACAAGCCCAGATTATGAGACCATCAAAGCTGGCAGGTCTGGTAAGTGGTGAAGTTGAGGCCAGAATCCAGGAACTGGGATCGTCTGACCCATTGTCAGACTTGGGCAAGCACCAAACACCCTCCTGCTACCCTTTGCTGACATGCCAAGGGCCTGAGTTCAGACTGGGATGTCCAAACCCATCTCTTCCTACAAATGAGCCGAGCATTTGCCTGAGGTGGCTCAGAAGACTTTTCTTCACCCTGAGGTGGGTGTATCTTCTGATGAGGGTATGGAATGGCAAAACAGCTTGTCTCAAACCAGCCATTGCCCAGATATAACCACTTTTAGTGATGGTGAGAACATCTGTCAAGAAAGCAGAGGCTCAATCTAGACCGTCAGTGTGGTCTCACTATCCTGAGATCCCTTTGAAGGGCCAAAACTCTTCAAGTGTTAGAGAAGGAACACCTACCCTCGGGCCCATGGGTCCCTGGTCTCCCGGTGAACCAGGTTCCCCCTGTAACAAGAAGAACATGCCATTAGCAAAGCCTATCCCTTCACTTGCTCAGACGCCAGGAATTGTTGTTCTCTGCTGGTCCTCTGAAACAGTCTGGGACCAGAGAGCTCAGTTTTAAAATGCTTCTTTTCAGCTCAGTTTTGTACATGCAGGAACAAGTTTGCAGCTCCTGAACTTGGAGCGGGGCTGTGCAGAAGCTCTGTACCTTTTCCCCCCGTGACCCTGCAGCACCAGGCCGGCCAACGTCACCAGCTTCTCCCTGAGAGAAAGAGAAAGGGAAAGGGATGGGTTTGTATTGTGCAGAGGGGCTGGGACTCCACCGCTGGCTTCGCATTTCCAGGAGGAAGAACTGCACCAGCCAAGCACCCCTGCCACACCACATCTCCTCGGGTAAGCCAAAACTCCTGCCCTGACTTTGCACCAGGTGCCCTTCTCTTCTATCCAGGACAGAGGGAATATTCAGCATGAAGGAAAGCACCCACTTCAGACCCAAAGTGCATGCACAGGAGAGTTGTTCCAAATACATCTCAGACAGGGTCTCAGATTTAAGTGTTCTTGGCGTCCTTTGCCAAGGGGCAGGATTTTACTGCTGCTTCTTGAGGAGGCAGAAGAGGAAGGAGAGAGGAGACTTGGAGAGAGGAGACTTGGAGAGCCTCCGTCCTGCCTTGGGTACCACAGGACTAGAGGCTGTCATTGATTCCAAGCAACTGGTTTCTTACAGAGCCTAGGGGGAATCATTTGAGCACAAGGAGGGTATTTTCCTCCCAGAAATAGAGTTTACAAGTTCTCTCACTTTCAGCATTTAAAACAACAAAACTAAAACACCCTGCAGAAGCTGGTATCCCTTCAGCAGGTAATGAGAGGTGGGCACAGATGAATGGGACCTTTGCCCCTTCCTGCACACCTCGTGCTGGGCACAATCCCTCACAACACACAACTCACTGGAGGTAAAAACACTCACTCACCTTTGGTCCAGGGGGCCCAGGCAAACCAGGAGGGCCAGGTTCTCCTTTGCCTCCCACCAGGGCGTTCTCAGCATTTCCCTTCTCTCCCTGTTTGCGAGGAAGAACAAGCCACGTGTCACGGTTCAGTCTCTCCATCTCCATAATTTCACTTGCCAGACTGTTGGCTTAGAGAGGGAGGGACCAAGAGGAGGTCCATCAGCTGGCCTCTTGATAGCCCAGAAACACCACTGGTCCTGAGCCACCAGCTGTCCAGGAGCCATACCAATATAGTTCTGCCTGGGGGCTCCACCTAGAGCCCTGCCACAGTTATCCTCCATCCCTCTTATTCCCCAAGGCCACATAAAGCTGCTTGTGGACAGACCTCATCCCTAGGCCTCCACTTCGAACACAACTGTTTTCTTCTACTGATGAAATTGAGCTGATAAAACCACCTGATGATGGCTTTTTTTTGGTTTGTCTCCCTCCGGAGCTGTAGGCATCAGTCAGCCCTGCAGGGCACATCATTTGCACAGAGCAGACACAAAGGCAGAAACAGGAAAGCTTTGCTTGCACCAAGTTGCCATCACACCCTCATCCTTTCCCAAAATGCCCACTGTCATTCAGTGCACTGTCCCCTTCCCCCCCAAAAAAGCTCACTTGACTTGAAAGGCATGATTTCTGTCCACATCTCAGGGCACAGAGAAAAGGTCACAGTTTCAGAGCTTGGCTTCAGCTGACCTGCCCTTAGTCTCTCCAAGCACAAGGCTACTCTTCCAACCCAGAGCACAGCAGTGCAGCTCCCAAAAAGCCCATCTCCTCCTCTCATACGGATCTCGGAGCAGGAGGGAGGCTGAAACACCACGTTACATCTGAGGTCATGCTTTTAAAGGGGAACATAATTCTGTGGTCACTTTCCCAGGACCACAACCTCCCCCTCACTGCATGAAGGCACACAGTTCCTCACAAAATGGAATGCTTTGTGTGACCCCACCACATCCCTGTGCTGACATCCAGCTGAGCTCTGCAGAACACGCTGCTGTACGCTGCAGCAGTGACCTAAGTGTGTGAGCTGTGCACAGCTGGCACAGGAGGGAGGGAGGAAAGGAGATGAGAGTGGCTGCCACCCCCCCCAGAAAATCAGAAAAGATACAAACCTTCATGCCAGGGAGTCCAGGAAGCCCAGGGTCACCAGCTCGTCCCTTCTCACCCTGTTGGCAAAACAGACATGGTTGGGCTGACTCTGCAGGCTCTGTCCTGGAGAAGCATCCAAAGGATGAGCTGCTTCTGATTTCAAACCTTCTTTCCCTCCCCCAGGGGATTTTATTTTAGGCATAAACAAAGCATCTTCCAGCAGTACCCGCTCAGGCCAGTGAATGTTTTCTCCTGTCCTTTTGACTATCTCTGCACATCACTGCCACTTCTCTCCAAAGGCAGGTGAGTGGGAAAGGGATCCAGGATCCTCCCCGCGCATCTTCCTCACCGCTCTGTTCTGCTAAACCCTTTCCCCTGTCAGTCCTTCAGCACAGGCTCTCCCCGTTCCATATATCCAGAGAAGCTGTTGCCCAGGGTGAATTTTATTTGGAGTGCAGGACTTTCTCTGTGCCCTGATAGAGTTCAGCAATTTTCACGTAAATTGTCCACTTCTTGAGTCTATCCCAGTTTTCACGCCTCCTCATCACACTGTGCATTACACTGCTTTGCTTTGGCAAAGATCTCACAGCCAACATTCCTGCTCCTCTCCCAGGGGGCCTTTCCTGCTCCTGTTCCCCAACTCCAAACCCCAGTCTTAAAAAAAAAAGCAGCACAGTGTCTCGGTTAGCAGCCAAGCTCTGTCACACATATTGGTGATGAAAAACGGTGAAAACAGGAGTGGTAAAAATGGCAAAGACAGATGATGGTGGTGTAACAGCCCTGACATGATGCCTGGAGAGCAAGGCCTGCAGGCTGAGGAGTATGGAGAATGCCATAGGGCAGTGAGCAACGGAGGACATCCAGCACCCAGCACTCACTTGGTGAAGTGACTTTGCTTAGTTCACCATAACATCTGGGTCATCTTCTGAATATTGGGGCTCAATTAATGGCCTTTACATCGACATTAAATTATATTCAACCCGTTCCATCCAGCTGCTAAACCCATGGTTTCCAGCTTCAGTGCCCTGTTCAGAAGTCTACATTTTGCCAGGACAGACATCTGTATCAAAAGTTTCTGTTACCACGAAGAGATGTTTCAAATGCATCGTCAGCAAAAGGTGTGTTCTTACCTGCAATCCTCACACCTCCAAGACTGAACAACTTGTGCAGACCCCAAAGAAGGATTCAAAACCTGTTTCCCCCCCAGCAGCTGCCTCCACAACAGCAGCACACCGGATCAGCAAGGCTAGCAAAGAGTCCCTCTTGATGCCATGCTCTTGCCCGTGGGGGCTGGTGCTGCACACCAGCTCTTGTCAGAGCTGCAGGGCACACATCTGACATGCAGGGGGCTTGCATCGATGCTCTAGGAACAGACATGCACCGGTGGCTCCACAGAAAATAATTAACTAGCAGCAATCTTATTTCTTTTAAGGCAATTCTAGAGTGCAGTGACCCCTTTCTCTAGGGTTATTTGGCCGCCAGCCACCTGTAAGGCCCCCACCCAGTTTTCCTTCCCTGACAGAGTGTGGACATTGCTGCCCTAAATGAGTGTTTCTCTCCTTGGAAAAAAGGGAAACACTTGCAGGACCTCGTGCCCAAAGAGAAGGGTTGGCCTTAAGAGTTTTTGTAAGGATATAATCTCTAATCCTGTCCCTGGACTCTGAAGTCCTAATCCTGCCCTGCTCCACCTTTGGTGGGCTACTTTTCATTCAAGGACTAGTTTTCAGTACCTATGTCCATAAGGGCTACTGAAAATATCCCCTGCTGCCTGAACAGCAGTGTAAGGAAGCAAATTTCTTGAGGAGGGGGGTTAGATTACCGATTCCTTGTTTAGGGTGCTATTTCTGGAGTCAAAAGGTGCAGAATGAATCATCCCCAGAACAAGACTCACTCTCGTGCTGCCCTGCCTGCCCCCGGCCCCCCCCTCCTGCATGCAGGAACACGCAAACACACTTCACCAAGGGGGGCAAGGGCCAGAAAAGGACACATAATCCCCTGCAAGCACGACAACGCAACGCAAAGCAGGCCCCCAGCTGGCAGGGAACACAGCACAGCACCCCCAGGACACCGAGCCCAAACACACAATGGTCCTACCCGCTGCCCCCTCTTCCCTGGCAAACCTGGGGGGCCCATCCTCCCTGGGGCTCCAGGATCTCCCTTCGCGGAAGGGGAAGAAAAGAGACAGAGAATGTGTCTGTTACGTGGCTGTCGCAGGCTGTAACATAACCCAGCAGGCCTCAAACAAGAGGAGCCAGCTGTTCAGAAACCAAGCCGGCTGCTCAGCGATGGAGAGTGATGGGGTATTTTTGTACCGTGCCCACCAAGGGAACTCAAACCAGGTCACACCACACAGAGAGGGGAGCCCGTGCACGGGGCAGTTCACAAGGTGCACGACAGAAATGCTCCCCGCAGCAACAGGGGAAGATTTCTGGTGGACACCAAAGTGCTGGGAGGCAGAAGGGGACAAGGGAAGGTGGAGAGGAGACATCTTTGCTAAGCAAAGTGTGCTGTGCATATTTCGTGGTGTAGGGGGAAGGGGAGGAAGGCAGCTGGAGGATATTCTCATCTCAGCACTCATGAGCAGGAGGCAGGGAATCTGTTTGCAGCATGGTCCCTCTCTCACTTAGCATCACTGTATGCTACCCCCATTTTGCTTACGCCAGCAGGTGCCATTAGGGCCTGGATTTGGGCACTGGGAAGTGCAGACCCGTTCTGCAGCTCCCTCAGCTGCTTTGGGAGGAGAAAAAATTACAAAAACCAACCAGAAGTGCAGGCTCAGAGCAAAGGCTTCCTGAGAGTACCTTTTCTCCTGGAGTCCCGGGCTCGCCCTGGTGAGGAAGAGTAAAAAAAAAAAAAGAAAAATGAAAAAAGGAAAAGAGTCATTTGAAAGCTCAGCTTTTTCCTGGAAGTGGTTTGTTCTCCACTAACGTAAGAATGAACAAAAGCAAAAAAACCCAGCTCTGAGTCCCACAGAGCCGTTATTCTATGATTTTCCCCTTTTCTCAAGTAGAAGCCAGGCTAACCCAGAGCTGGGCACAGCTGCTCACTCACTGCAGACCACCAGTGCACACTTCCGAGGAAGCTCTGCAGTCCTTTTATTCTGCTCCAAGTCACGGGCCACTCCTGACAAGGGTTCTCATGACCTCTATGTCCACCAGTGTTAATATTATCAACTAAACAAGATGTACGAGTATTTACCAAAACACTACATGCACTAAGCTGTAGGATGAAGAGGATCATGGAACAACCAAGCACTTCCTTTTACTGCTACTGGTGAGGATGCCAGATCTACATTGTTCCTGTGTTTCTGCATCCTCTGGGAAACAGTGAAGCAACCAGCAGTACCTCACGGGACAGGAAGGCAGATGCTCACCTGGAGAGCTTCACTGATATTACCATCGTAGTCCATCATCTCATCCTTCCCAGGCTCTCCTTTGGGGCCCTGCAAAATACCATCTCTTTAGCCAGGGCTTAGGGATTGGCCCTTCCCATGGGCTACTCAGAGCTGCAGGTCACCCTGAAAGGGGGTCTTGGAGGACCCTGTTTCACGAGCCTCTAGTTTTTCATTTATTGAGTAGAGCTCTTGAAAGCACATTTTATAAGGAAACGCTACCAAAGTGTAGCCAGACAAGCCCAGATTATGAGACCATCAAAGCTGGCAGGTCTGGTAAGTGGTGAAGTTGAGGCCAGAATCCAGGAACTGGGATCGTCTGACCCATTGTCAGACTTGGGCAAGCACCAAACACCCTCCTGCTACCCTTTGCTGACATGCCAAGGGCCTGAGTTCAGACTGGGATGTCCAAACCCATCTCTTCCTACAAATGAGCCGAGCATTTGCCTGAGGTGGCTCAGAAGACTTTTCTTCACCCTGAGATGGGTGTATCTTCTGATGAGGGTATGGAGTGGCAAAACAGCTTGTCTCAAACCAGCCATTGCCCAGCTGTAACCACTTTTAGTGATGGTGAGAACATCTGTCAAGAAAGCAGAGGCTCAATCTAGACCGTCAGTGTGGTCTCACTATCCTGAGATCCCTTTGAAGGGCCAAAACTCTTCAAGTGTTAGAGAAGGAACACCTACCCTCGGGCCCATGGGTCCCTGGTCTCCCGGTGAACCAGGTTCCCCCTGTAACAAGAAGAACATGCCATTAGCAAAGCCTATCCCTTCACTTGCTCAGACTCCAGGAAATCCCTTTGAAGGGCCAAAACTCTTCAAGTGTTAGAGAAGGAACACCTACCCTCGGGCCCATGGGTCCCTGGTCTCCCGGTGAACCAGGTTCCCCCTGTAACAAGAAGAACATGCCATTAGCAAAGCCTATCCCTTCACTTGCTCAGACGCCAGGAATTGTTGTTCTCTGCTGGTCCTCTGAAACAGTCTGGGACCAGAGAGCTCAGTTTTAAAATGCTTCTTTTCAGCTCAGTTTTGTACATGCAGGAACAAGTTTGCAGCTCCTGAACTTGGAGCGGGACTGTGCAGAAGCTCTGTACCTTTTCCCCCCGTGACCCTGCAGCACCAGGCCGGCCAACGTCACCAGCTTCTCCCTGAGAGAAAGAGAAAGGGAAAGGGATGGGTTTGTATTGTGCAGAGGGGCTGGGACTCCACCGCTGGCTTCGCATTTCCAGGAGGAAGAACTGCACCAGCCAAGCGCCCCCGCCACACCACATCTCCTCGGGTAAGCCAAAACTCCTGCCCTGACTTTGCACCAGGTGCCCTTCTCTTCTATCCAGGACAGAGGGAATATTCAGCATGAAGGAAAGCACCCACTTCAGACCCAAAGTGCATGCACAGGAGAGTTGTTCCAAATACATCTCAGACAGGGTCTCAGATTTAAGTGTTCTTGGCGTCCTTTGCCAAGGGGCAGGATTTTACTGCTGCTTCTTGAGGAGGCAGAAGAGGAAGGAGAGAGGAGACTTGGAGAGAGGAGACTTGGAGAGCCTCCGTCCTGCCTTGGGTACCACAGGACTAGAGGCTGTCATTGATTCCAAGCAACTGGTTTCTTACAGAGCCTAGGGGGAATCATTTGAGCACAAGGAGGGTATTTTCCTCCCAGAAATAGAGTTTACAAGTTCTCTCACTTTCAGCATTTAAAACAACAAAACTAAAACACCCTGCAGAAGCTGGTATCCCTTCAGCAGGTAATGAGAGGTGGGCACAGATGAATGGGACCTTTGCCCCTTCCTGCACACCTCGTGCTGGGCACAATCCCTCACAACACACAACTCACTGGAGGTAAAAACACTCACTCACCTTTGGTCCAGGGGGCCCAGGCAAACCAGGAGGGCCAGGTTCTCCTTTGCCTCCCACCAGGGCGTTCTCAGCATTTCCCTTCTCTCCCTGTTTGCGAGGAAGAACAAGCCACGTGTCACGGTTCGGTCTCTCCATCTCCATAATTTCACTTGCCAGACTGTTGGCTTAGAGAGGGAGGGACCAAGAGGAGGTCCATCAGCTGGCCTCTTGATAGCCCAGAAACACCACTGGTCCTGAGCCACCAGCTGTCCAGGAGCCATACCAATATAGTTCTGCCTGGGGGCTCCACCTAGAGCCCTGCCACAGTTATCCTCCATCCCTCTTACTCCCCAAGGCCACATAAAGCTGCTTGTGGACAGACCTCATCCCTAGGCCTCCACTTCGAACACAACTGTTTTCTTCTACTGATGAAATTGAGCTGATAAAACCACCTGATGATGGCTTTTTTGGGTTTGTCTCCCTCCGGAGCTGTAGGCATCAGTCAGCCCTGCAGGGCACATCATTTGCACAGAGCAGACACAAAGGCAGAAACAGGAAAGCTTTGCTTGCACCAAGTTGCCATCACACCCTCATCCTTTCCCGAAATTCCCACTGTCATTCAGTCCACTGTCCCCTTCCCCAAAGAAAAAGCACACCTGACTTGAAAGGCATGATTTCTGTCCACATCTCAGGGCACAGAGAAAAGGTCACAGTTTCAGAGCTTGGCTTCAGCTGACCTGCCCTTAGTCTCTCCAAGCACAAGGCTACTCTTCCAACCCAGAGCACAGCAGTGCAGCTCCCAAAAAGCCCATCTCCTCCTCTCATACGGATCTCGGAGCAGGAGGGAGGCTGAAACACCACGTTACATCTGAGGTCATGCTTTTAAAGGGGAACATAATTCTGTGGTCACTTTCCCAGGACCACAACCTCCCCCTCACTGCATGAAGGCACACAGTTCCTCACAAAATGGAATGCTTTGTGTGACCCCACCACATCCCTGTGCTGACATCCAGCTGAGCTCTGCAGAACACGCTGCTGTACGCTGCAGCAGTGACCTAAGTGTGTGAGCTGTGCACAGCTGGCACAGGAGGGAGGGAGGAAAGGAGATGAGAGTGGCTGCCACCCCCCCCAGAAAATCAGAAAAGATACAAACCTTCATGCCAGGGAGTCCAGGAAGCCCAGGGTCACCAGCTCGTCCCTTCTCACCCTGTTGGCAAAACAGACATGGTTGGGCTGACTCTGCAGGCTCTGTCCTGGAGAAGCATCCAAAGGATGAGCTGCTTCTGATTTCAAACCTTCTTTCCCTCCCCCAGGGGATTTTATTTTAGGCATAAACAAAGCATCTTCCAGCAGTACCCGCTCAGGCCAGTGAATGTTTTCTCCTGTCCTTTTGACTATCTCTGCACATCACTGCCACTTCTCTCCAAAGGCAGGTGAGTGGGAAAGGGATCCAGGATCCTCCCCGCGCATCTTCCTCACCGCTCTGTTCTGCTAAACCCTTTCCCCTGTCAGTCCTTCAGCACAGGCTCTCCCCGTTCCATATATCCAGAGAAGCTGTTGCCCAGGGTGAATTTTATTTGGAGTGCAGGACTTTCTCTGTGCCCTGATAGAGTTCAGCAATTTTCACGTAAATTGTCCACTTCTTGAGTCTATCCCAGTTTTCACGCCTCCTCATCACACTGTGCATTACACTGCTTTGCTTTGGCAAAGATCTCACAGCCAACATTCCTGCTCCTCTCCCAGGGGGCCTTTCCTGCTCCTGTTCCCCAACTCCAAACCCCAGTCTTAAAAAAAAAAGCAGCACAGTGTCTCGGTTAGCAGCCAAGCTCTGTCACACATATTGGTGATGAAAAACGGTGAAAACAGGAGTGGTAAAAATGGCAAAGACAGATGATGGTGGTGTAACAGCCCTGACATGATGCCTGGAGAGCAAGGCCTGCAGGCTGAGGAGTATGGAGAATGCCATAGGGCAGTGAGCAACGGAGGACATCCAGCACCCAGCACTCACTTGGTGAAGTGACTTTGCTTAGTTCACCATAACATCTGGGTCATCTTCTGAATATTGGGGCTCAATTAATGGCCTTTACATCGACATTAAATTATATTCAACCCGTTCCATCCAGCTGCTAAACCCATGGTTTCCAGCTTCAGTGCCCTGTTCAGAAGTCTACATTTTGCCAGGACAGACATCTGTATCAAAAGTTTCTGTTACCACGAAGAGATGTTTCAAATGCATCGTCAGCAAAAGGTGTGTTCTTACCTGCAATCCTCACACCTGCAAGACTGAACAACTTGTGCAGACCCCAAAGAAGGATTCAAAACCTGTTTCCCCCCCAGCAGCTGCCTCCACAACAGCAGCACACCGGATCAGCAAGGCTAGCAAAGAGTCCCTCTTGATGCCATGCTCTTGCCCGCGGGGGCTGGTGCTGCACACCGGCTCTTGTCAGAGCTGCAGGGCACACATCTGACATGCAGGGGGCTTGCATCGATGCTCTAGGAACAGACATGCACCGGTGGCTCCACAGAAAATAATTAACTAGCAGCAATCTTATTTCTTTTAAGGCAATTCTAGAGTGCAGTGACCCCTTTCTCTAGGGTTATTTGGCCGCCAGCCACCTGTAAGGCCCCCACCCAGTTTTCCTTCCCTGACAGAGTGCGGACATTGCTGCCCTAAATGAGTGTTTCTCTCCTTGGAAAAAAGGGAAACACTTGCAGGACCTCGTGCCCAAAGAGAAGGGTTGGCCTTAAGAGTTTTTGTAAGGATATAATCTCTAATCCTGTCCCTGGACTCTGAAGTCCTAATCCTGCCCTGCTCCACCTTTGGTGGGCTACTTTTCATTCAAGGACTAGTTTTCAGTACCTATGTCCATAAGGGCTACTGAAAATATCCCCTGCTGCCTGAACAGCAGTGTAAGGAAGCAAATTTCTTGAGGAGGGGGGTTAGATTACCGATTCCTTGTTTAGGGTGCTATTTCTGGAGTCAAAAGGTGCAGAATGAATCATCCCCAGAACAAGACTCACTCTCGTGCTGCCCTGCCTGCCCCCGGCCCCCCACCTCCTGCATGCAGGAACACGCAAACACACTTCACCAAGGGGGGCAAGGGCCAGAAAAGGACACATAATCCCCTGCAAGCACGACAACGCAACGCAAAGCAGGCCCCCAGCTGGCAGGGAACACAGCACAGCACCCCCAGGACACCGAGCCCAAACACACAATGGTCCTACCCGCTGCCCCCTCTTCCCTGGCAAACCTGGGGGGCCCATCCTCCCTGGGGCTCCAGGATCTCCCTTCGCGGAAGGGGAAGAAAAGAGACAGAGAATGTGTCTGTTACGTGGCTGTCGCAGGCTGTAACATAACCCAGCAGGCCTCAAACAAGAGGAGCCAGCTGTTCAGAAACCAAGCCGGCTGCTCAGCGATGGAGAGTGATGGGGTATTTTTGTACCGTGCCCACCAAGGGAACTCAAACCAGGTCACACCACACAGAGAGGGGAGCCCGTGCACGGGGCAGTTCACAAGGTGCACGACAGAAATGCTCCCCGCAGCAACAGGGGAAGATTTCTGGTGGACACCAAAGTGCTGGGAGGCAGAAGGGGACAAGGTGGAGAGGAGACATCTTTGCTAAGCAAAGTGTGCTGTGCATATTTCGTGGTGTAGGGGGAAGGGGAGGAAGGCAGCTGGAGGATATTCTCATCTCAGCACTCATGAGCAGGAGGCAGGGAATCTGTTTGCAGCATGGTCCCTCTCTCACTTAGCATCACTGTATGCTACCCCCATTTTGCTTACGCCAGCAGGTGCCATTAGGGCCTGGATTTGGGCACTGGGAAGTGCAGACCCGTTCTGCAGCTCCCTCAGCTGCTTTGGGAGGAGAAAAAATTACAAAAACCAACCAGAAGTGCAGGCTCAGAGCAAAGGCTTCCTGAGAGTACCTTTTCTCCTGGAGTCCCGGGCTCGCCCTGGTGAGGAAGAGACAGGAAAATAAAGTGAAAAAACAGGAGAGAGTACAAAACCTCCTTGAGCTATCAGAGTGGAGGAAAGAATATTCATCTGTGGAGGCCTTGTACTTGTAAATAAGGGCATGAGGATGCTTTAAATGCACATTAATTTTTGTGCCTGGAGCTTGTTTTATCTTCATTAGCCAGCTCCTAGGCTGCTGTAACAAACCAGCCAGCCTCAGACAAGAGGCTTTTAATGAAACTAAGGAACCAAGTTGCAGTATTTCCAAAGAAGGTTTACCAGACACAAGAGAGCATAAGACAAGACTCATCTGCTGGCATTGAGGAAATTTGGCTGCTCCTAGCACTGTACGCACAAGAGCTGAGCAAATTGAGGAAATTTGGCTGCTCCTAGCACTGTGTGCACAGGAGCTGAGCAAGGCTGTGGTTGCAGCTGGGGTTTGAGGAAAGCTATTTTGCTATGAGATTAATGTGGCACTGAGGGGGAAAACCCTCCCCACCAGCCCTGAAGATAACTTCTTTATTTCTGTTTTGTTTTGTTTTTTCCCCAGCAGTTAGAGGGAATCAGGACAACAGGTTGTCATCTCATCACGCATCTTGGACCCCCCGGAGCAACTTCTAGATCCCTAAATCTGCACCTGGCCCTTTGCTGTGATGCCATCCTGACACTGCTGGGGAGCATCACCAGTTCACCAGCCTCCTTGCCCAGCGAGGTGCGGAGGAGCAGGGGTGCTGCTGGAGATGGGTCTGGTTTCTCTGCCAAAAAGCAACAGCAGTTCTGATATGCCCCTTTAGTGGGAGCTCTCCGACTATTTTCCTGTGTCCTTTGCACTCCTGACTCCAGCCCTTGCTCTTAAACCTGCCCTCCTTAAACCATTGCAGTGTAGAGTAAAACTGACCTTCATCCCTGCGGTGGCCATCCCAGGAGCGCCCTGGCAAAGAGAGATAAAACAGAAAGGCCTTGTTTGAAATTAATCGGGGACAAACTTTTAAAAACAAAACAGTATCAGCCAGGTGGAACTACAAAGGCAAAATCCACATCTTTTCCTTTACACAGAAGTAATGCTGTAACACCACACAGCACGCATCCTCCTTCCCCGTGCAGGTCGTTCACCTATGGCAGTGGCTCTGCTTTCCAGAAAGCTCCTCCAAAGGCAGACATCATGAACACAACCCAGTCAAGACAAGCAAATTTCCACAAACCCCCTCCCGGTTTTAGTCCTGCAAGTGAAGCAAAGCCCAACAAGCAGAACAGTGTCCAATAACTGAGGAATGACAGACAGGCTGAGGACCAAACACTCAGTTTAATGCTCGATCCCAAGATACATCAGCTCAAGCATCCTGAGAAAGTCCAGCTCGTACCCTAGAGCCTTGGTGTTGCTATTTCCCCTCATTCTGTTTTTATCACAGAAGGCAAGCCCTGCAGTGAAATGTTTTCAGGAGAGCTCTGAAGCCAGCCACCTTAGGGGAAAAATAATTACTTCCGAGCACTGCGATTCAGACGTCATTCTGAAGTGCTGAGGAAGCCACCACCACCAGACCACAGAGCCCAGCCTGCCCCACAGTCTGAGACAGGTGCTTGGAAACCCAAGGAGGCAGCTGCTCCCACAGGGACAGTCACATTTCCCTCGACAGCACTGATCCAAAAAGCAGGTCTTCCCTATCAACCCTTCACTCCGGGGTGATCTCTGTACGCCCTGTGTTAGTATTAGTTAGGTCCTGGTGAAAAGGTCCAGTTACAAAAGCCAATATGAGGGATAACAAGGGTCTAAGGAGAGGGGAGGAGGTGAAGCAGTGTTAGAAGCTGGGAAATGAGAGGGGCTGGGATGGAGCGCATGAGGCAGAGAGGAGGACTGGAAGCCAAGTTCAAAGTGAAAAGAGCTTGGAAAAGTTCAAACAAGGAGGAGTGGGGAGCCAGAGAGCAGCAGGATCATACCTCTCAGCTTTCTGAAACAGAAATCGGGGACAAAGCTAAAAAACACAAGGACAGAAGATGGAGATCAGGGATTCTATGCAATAAATGGGGAAAAAAAAAAAGCATTCCAGATCGTCTCAGGGGTCAGTAGGTTTTAATGAATACGGACTAGAGTCATGAAAGGGATTACATGCAGCAAGTGGCTTGGGTTAGGCTTTCACAATGCATTTGGGATGCCTGTTCCTCACTCTTCAGCCTTTAAATAGCAGCAAATGCTGATGAAGTCATTTTCTAGTACTTATCCTAAAACTGCAAGGCACACACATGCAGGTTTGCTCACACGCTGGCCCTGATTCGTCGCTGCATTAGTCCAGGTTCACACTTGCCCAACCCTACTGATGGCAGTGGGCTGACACACACCACTGAAGGTCGCAGCCGTCACTTGGGATCCCCAATTTACAGAAAACGTCAATTCCCTAGAAACATCAGCAACTGGCTGCTCTCACGAGCGTGAAGCATTAAGATCCTGATGTTGCAAGACAGCATCAGATGGGGCATGCCATTTGCTTTGTCCAAAACAATTCCTCCCCCGCCACCTCCTTCGTAAATCAGGCCCTCCATTTTTGCAATTTAGAAGCAGGAAATATTCAGCTGAGGATAGTCGCTGACTGACAGACACACACACACAAATTCAGGTGATGCTTGCGCATCAGGGACAGTCGAGTGGTACGGGTGAGGGCAGGCAGACAAGCGTCACTCCACTGTTCACAAGGTGTACCTTAGTGCCATGTCTTCCTGGCAGCCCTGGCATGCCTCTCTCCCCCTGGAAGCAGAGCAAGAAACACAGAGAAAGAGAGCAAGAGACACGACGTGAGTCCTCCCGGGGCTCTATGAGGAGTGATTAGGGCACAGCTGATGAGAAAGCCTCCAGGGTGAGATGGGGCACAACCCGTTTCCCCACCTGACTCTCACCAAGCTGACTGACCTCGCCAGGACTGTTTCCCATCAGTGGCACTTCCCAAGCCTGTTGTGTACAGCAGGGCTGACCCTGCTGGAGGCTCCACCTCAAGTGCTGTGTCCAGTTTTGGGTCCCTTCCCACAAAAAAGACATTGAGGGGCTGGAGTGGGTCCAGAGAAGGGCAACAGAGATGGTGAAGGGTCTGGAGAACAAGTCTCCTGAGGAGAGGCTGAGGGAGCTGGGGGTGTTCAGCCTGGAGAAAAGAAGGCTGAGGAGAGACCTTCTCACTCTCTACAACTCCCTGAAAGGAGGGTGTAGTCAGAGGGGGGTCGGTCTCTTCTCCCAAGTCCCAGGTGATGGGACAAGAGGAAATGGCCTCAAATTGTGCCAGGGAAGGTTCAGATTGGATACCAGGAAAAATTTTTACACGGGAAGGGTTATGAAGCCTTGGAATGGGCAGCCCAGGGAAGTGGCTGAGGCATCATCCCTGGAGGTGTTCAAAAGACAGGTTGACATAGTGCTGGGGGACATGGTTTAGTGATGGTTTTTATCAGAGTGAGGTTGATGGTTGGACTAGATGATCTTAAAGGTCCCTTCCAACTTAGACAATTCAATGATTCTATGAACAAATGCTTCTGTACCCTGCTACCACATCACATGCCATGGTACTCTGCACATAGGGAGTCACTCAGTCTGCAGTGACTATAGGATGAACAAACTTATCTGGAGAAACAGAGAATCCAAGGGCTGTCTTGTATTGTTAGTCTGAACTTTATCCGGTGGTAAATGGAAAATAAACCATCTTTAGACAGTCTGCTTACTGTTATTATTGCTCTGAGCGTTTAGTCCCTGCTTGGAAGGACTGTTTAGAAGGGAAACACGTGTATGCTTTTTTTAAAAGCACTTTTTGTAATTTGACATCCTGTGAACTGTATTTTGTAAAATAGTGTCTAGTACTGTAATATGCAAGGCCTAAGCACATCATACACTACTTAAGTATCCTGCATAGGGTATCTTCGTCCATAAGAAAAATAAACTAATAATTATGAATGCTTTGTATTGGAGAAATGGGGACCGCTCTCAGTCCCTCTTTCCTGGCTGTGGTCCCTGATTTTATTCTTAAATGAGACCAAGAAGACAAGGCCAATGCTTTCTGCTGGGAGGCACCCACACTGCTTGCAGATGCTGCCCCCGCAGAGCAGCCCTGCACGTGAAAGTAATTCCCCATCCCTGAGACTTTCCTGGAAGAAACTGCCTGCCTAAAGAGCTGCTTTGTTTTTTGAGCCCTGCAAAAGCAAAGCCACCTCGGTGAGAGTGAGTAAGGTCCTTACAGGGTGCATGTTACAGAGCATCCACAGCACCCTGCGTTTTCTGATGCTCGTGGCACAGTCCCCACCAGATCACACAGGCACTATAGGGAATTTGAGAGCGAGAGCAAAAATCACTGTGCTCCACCATTAAAGAGCAGAAAGAAGCCCCAGAGCCAATGCCAGAGAATTAAGCAGGAAAAGCAACTCTCCCTAAACCCTTTAAAAGCTTACACACTTGAAAGCTATTGTAATACATTAAGTACCCACCGGGGCTGATGGCTTCAGGATCCCCCAGAGCCCTTTGGGGGGGAGAAGGGCTGCGCAGGGTGCCACAGCCAGGCAGCAGCAACCCACCAAAACTAGCACTGGAGTATGGAGCAGTCAAGCCAGAAGCTGGGAAACGTCACCAAAGGCAGATAGGAAAGGCAAAACACCCAGCACAGCTCCCCAGCAGGCTCCAGGATGGTGGTCAGCAGCGTGTCCCAGCTCTCCTGAGCTGATTCAGGAAACCCCTCCACGCTTCCCAGCCTCTCCAGAAGAGTCGGGCTACACTTCTCCCCTCCAGCACAGACAAAACCCTCACACTCTCTACCCCTATACCTGCTGTGAGCAACTTTATGCCCACCTGATGCCAATCATGACAGAGCACACCCTGTGCTGATCAGCTCATTGGCAGTACTGGTTACAGACTGCCAATTAAAAAAAGAGACTCTTTTTTTTTTGCTTCTTGCTGCAATAGGCAGATTATGAGGGGGTTACTGAGCAAGGCTGTGGGCAGTTTCTTTATTGCTCTTTCCTCGGAGCAGGACAAAAAGCCTCATCCTAGGGACCTTTCAATAAAAATAAAGAAAATGTCAGTAAAACCGACCATGATGGCTAGGCTGGGGGACAGTGAGTCAAATGCTTATTGAAATAACCCAGGTGATCACACTTACTGGTTGTCAAATGACCTTCATGGGACACAGATGTAGGTCTCAACATGACCAAAGTAAAAATGGTGGCCACAGAAGAAGACAGCTAAGAGAGAATCTATGTTGTGCTGCATCTGTCACTGGGTGAGGAGAGATTATTGAGAGAACAAGGGGTCTGTGTGAAACCAGCAAGCCTTTTCAGGCCTGGAATGTTCTTCACCGCCAGCAAAAGCAGTGATATGCCATACAAAACTGGTCACTACAGCTAAACTTTGAATTATAGCGTTTGTCCTGGGCTCCTCAAATCAGAGAGAAAGTAAAATCCAGCCCAGGTAACTGGATCCAGAGGTGGAAGCATCAAAAGCCTTCCAGAGTCTCACACGATCCTCCTAGGTGGGAGGAGGATGGGAAGAAGCACTTTCCAAAGACAGCAGATGCGTGCGCTGTGCGGATGTTCAGGAGCTGCTACTGGGTGATGTCTGGCTGCTGATTTAACGGTACCTCTACACTTCCTTTTCAATTCCTCTGAGCAAAGAAGAAAGGAAGTCGAGCGAAAAGTGATCCTGACAGTAACAAATGGGAGTCTGTGTGCGAAAGAAGCGGCTCCTACGGCAGTGGAGAGGTGCCCCTTCGGAGCTGCCATCCAGTACCACAAAAAGTGTGGCAGGCTTCATCTCCACTCTTTATGAAGTGGGAGACTTGTGAAGAGTTGGAGACTTCCCCTTCGCTAAAAGCCTTCCAGAGTCTCACACGATCCTCCTAGGTGGGAGGAGGATGGGAAGAAGCACTTTCCAAAGACAGCAGATGCGTGCGCTGTGCGGATGTTCAGGAGCTGCTACTGGGTGATGTCTGGCTGCTGATTTAACGGTACCTCTACACTTCCTTTTCAATTCCTCTGAGCAAAGAAGAAAGGAAGTCGAGCGAAAAGTGATCCTGACAGTAACAAATGGGAGTCTGTGTGCGAAAGAAGCGGCTCCTACGGCAGTGGAGAGGTGCCCCTTCGGAGCTGCCATCCAGTACCACAAAAAGTGTGGCAGGCTTCATCTCCACTCTTTATGAAGTGGGAGACTTGTGAAGAGTTGGAGACTTCCCCTTCGCTGGAGCCCAAAGGAAGGGCTGATCAGCCCTTGTACATGGGTGCAAGCAGAGCAGGTGCCTGCTGGCAGTGAAATGCAGGAGTGTAAGCCGGGGTGGAACACAGCTTCTCCTTCCAGCCCTTTCTCCCTCTCAGGCCACGCTCCAACCTCGGTTCTCCAGTGCAAGGAGAGCACCTGGCTGTTGAGACAGCAGCAAAAAAACCTCCCAGCCCCCAAAACACATTAGTTCTGGGTGCAATTCTGCTGCCATTTACGCTGGCACAAAGCGGAAGCAATTCCTTTGTGCTTGATGGAATTACAGTGGTGTGAAGATGGACACAGGGGAACCTTTACACGCATTTCTGAGCAGTATTTCTGAGAAGGTATTGTTTTCTTGTGGGAGGACAATTGCTGCTGTTCTATTCAACTATTAACCCAGAGCCTGCATTCCCAAAGAACGTTTCTTTAAACTCCATATAACACATCCATATTAAGTTCCGAGGGGGCCTTTTCTCCCTTCAAATAGTAATCCAGCCAGATGGAAAAAATATAGAAAGTGTATATGCTGCACGATAAATGAGATGCATGCCACATACTAAATACTTGAAATTTATGTGTCACTGTTAATGCTTTTCAAAATATTACAGGACCAGTCTTTTCTCATGATGTTTAAGATGTATGGCATGACACAGTATGCTCTGACTGTCATGAACACTTGCCAATGTTGTAATGTTTTAAGCACAGTCTACATTGAGTAATATACTTTAAATATATGGGTACAGTAAATTTCAGTCAAATAGATAACATCTGGGCACAGACCATATGAGCCTGTAAAAAGTGTCCAGAAACAGACAGAAAAGCCTGGTGCCAAACCTCAGCCTGAGCTGCAGAGTTTGAGTGGATTTGATGCGTCAGCTAACCAGATTTTATGAGGAAACCCCAGCCCAGCCCATCAAATGGGGAGATGTAACAAATCATTAGCAAGCTTCATAGTCAGAGAAATGCCTTTGGTAAGAATCGAATTCCACCAAATGGATAAAGGCTGCTTTTATTGCCTGAGCTTGGAGTGTCTGCCTGTGGTTAATCAGAGCACAGATGTGTACTCCATTAAATACCCCACAGAGCTGCCTCAGACCCAACTTCCTCTTACAACCCATCAGCCCAAGGAGCAGTATCTCCCAGATGATCTACCGCGGCAGAAAACCGTATTTCTCATGCCTACCTTTATGCCAGCGTCCCCTTTTTCACCCTGCCCAGCAAAGGAGAGAGAGAGAGAGAGAGAAGAAACAGAGAGAGGGGCAGTGAACATAAAGAGAAATCGAGCAAGCAGCACAATCCTAACAGCGAGGGCCAGAGGGAAAGTAGAGAACGTGCAATAAATGCAACCCCAGGCCTCCAGAGAGAAGTGGCTCCTGATAACATGGTACCAGCCAGAACACTGGCCACAGCCCACCCTTCCCTGGGAACATGTGCCAGCTCACGTGGCTGGAGTGGGTACTGGAGGTCACCCCTACTAATGCTTTCCTGAGCATTTTGGGTGTAGGCAAACCATCATACCATTTCAGGGACCAGAGTGCCCTCATTCTCCCAGCCTTCATGCAAAAGCTTCTAAAGGCTGGGTCGGTTTTATTCTTTAAGGGGAGCTTGTCCAGGGCTGAACCTGGCCCTGCTTCAGGACAGCAGGGAATCGTGCCAGCCAAAAATTGCCCAGGTCCTTTACATGGGAGCGAGTTTTTCTGTTTAGGTGGCTCATAGCAGGCTCTAAAGAGCTGCCTCCAGTCCCTGACATTCCATATTCCTTTAGCCTGTCTCTAGGCTTGTGTGTGTCACTTATCTGCCCTAGGGAGATGGCCCCCCTGACTCTGAGTTTAAGGGTTACCTTGGGGCCAGTAGCTCCAGGGAGGCCATGCGCACCGGGCAGGCCTGACTCGCCCACCTCACCCTGAGGAAGAGAAGAGAGAAACTGGAGGAAGAAGCAAACGTAGTGAGCAGCAAGAAAAGGAGCTTGTGGGTTGCCTGAAAGGTCACGTTGCCTGAAAGGTCAGCAAAGATGTGAGAGTGATGTCCCACACGGAGGTGCCCACCACACACCAACCTACCACCTGGGTCTCTCTGGGACAGGAGCAGCATTCTGCATCAAGAAAGATATTGGGGGTGGAAAACTTATGGATTGAAGGGAGCAGTCCCACAACTGTGTCAGAGCTAACATCCTTGTTCAAGGATGCTCTTTGCCCTCTTTTCCCTTTCCCCTGACCCCCTCACCAGGCAGGATTTTCTCCCCTACTTTCATCCCTTCCTTCCACCTTTCCCAGAGAAAGGTCACAACCCCAGGCTCATTCCTCTGAGACTTGAGTGCAGGCTCTTTGCTTGGTAAGTAAATTAGCCAGACAAGTTGTTTCATGTAAGAGGAGCTCGTAGGAGAGGCCCTCGCTGCGAGGTCATTGCAGGGACCCCCTCACTGCTCCTGTGTGCTGGGAGCCCCCCGCCCAGCGCACACAGAACAGGATGGGCTCTTAATGGAAAAACCAAGGGTTCACTGGAAGAAGGGGCAATAAATTGTGTCTGTCTGCAGGAGTGGGCTGTGGTCCGCGGGGGCTATAATTTCCACTTCCTGACACAACAAAAACTTCTCAGTTTGTACAGAACTAATTAAAAAGCTCTCAGGTCTTGCCATTTTGCTCACAGAGCACCCGTAAAGCAACATGGAGATAACACGGGACGCAGGACTCCTGCCTGCTGGGAACATTCACCTTCCCCTTCTCCAGCTGACATCTCTTTAGCAGCATCTCTTCATTCCCTCTTTCCCCTTTGATCTAACTTCATGTCTTCCCCTGCCTCTCTTTCTGTCTCTTCATTACATCCTCTGGGCTTGATGACCCTTGCTGTTAATTAGCTGTTGCTGAAGACATTCGGGCATTGCCAGCTTCTGCCTTTTAAACTGGAGCAGGATCAACTCTTTCCTGCTTTATTCCAGACAGCAATAGACGTAGCCAGGGATTTGGCCCTTTCCAGCCTCCTTTTTGGGTCTGGATGCACAAGAGGTATATTTCAGCCTGGAAGTGGGTGCAGAGAGGCACCCAGATGGGGAGATGTCTGTGCCCTAGCTACTGGAGAATTAAAGATATCTCTGGGTCCAGCCTCTCCTTACGTGGGTGATGGCACAGGATCTGTGGGACTACTGCAGCCCTGCGTCCAGAGCTCAGGAGAGGACTCCAGAGCATGTCATGATCCCACAAGGCACCTACATCTTAATTCATTTAACAACATTGGAGCTCCCATTCTTACCTTTCTGCCAGGGTATCCCTGAATCCCAGGGTCTCCCTGCAAAAGACAAAAAGACAAAAGAAAGTGAGGCTTGGCCTGAGAAGGACAAATCCCTGCTCTTTTCCCTGGGGAGATGCCGGGATGAAAGGGCACTCCATGGGGAAAATTCACCTTTTGCTCAGCGTGACTCCACTGAGTCCCTGACCCTTTAGACCCTTGGGTCACTGTTACCTGCACCGGACTAAGCCCTCGCAGGAAAGGTGCAATAAGCACTGGCAGCTGGATAACTCATGCCAGCTCCGTGTCCCAGCCCCGCGGTTCCTGTCTCCTCACCCTGGCTTAATCTCTCAAATAAAAACAAAGGGGTGGGTGGTTGGAGCTGAAAAACAACAACAACCCCCCCCAACTCGCATTTTGGCAAGTGAATAAATGGGAAACTGTGGTGGAGTTAACAATAGCGTTGCAAAATCAGTTCCTGAAGCATTGGTAAAATGCTTTGAGAGTAGAAGCAGCCAATAAAGCTGTGTGTGGCAAAGAATTTTGCAAGAGGGGCTGATGAGGCGTGCCTTGCTCAGTCAAGATGCAACTCAGACGTGTAGCCTGGACAAAACCCATGAGTCAGCACACGGACCAGGCCCCAGGGGCAATACTGAGCTGGGTTAGAAATCTTTTTCAGCTATTTGATGTAACCTCATTTCCCCCTCCTCCACCCGTTAAAATGTACACGTCTCTCATTGCCAGGAGTGTCACCTCTCTGTTTACCACCTTGCTTCCTCTAAGCGAGGCCAGATATCTCACCTTTGGTCCAGGAGGCCCAGGTAAGCCCTGTAGATAAAATCAAAACAGACATTGGGTTTGGCAAATGTAGACAACATCACATGGACTGCAGGGTGATGGGAGCTGCTGACTGCTTTGGTTTGAAATGCTGCTTTTTACGCACTGGTAAGCTCAAACATTTATCTATTCTTTATGTAGATGACTACTATCTTAACCCACACTCCCAAATAAATTCATGGCCATAGCCCTCCATTCCCCCAGGCCTGGTCTCACTGAATCTGAAGACCATAAAGCTGCTTTGCCTTATGCACTGTTCTCCAGAATCGTTTCTGTGTCTCTGGCTTTGCTTGGGAAACTTGTTCCCAGCCCGCTGTGCAGCTGTGGAGTAAATCAGGCATTTGCAGCTTCCTCTGACAAGCTAAATAGAGAGAATATATTAACAAACAAACCACTTGGGTTTTTAAATGAGAAATAAACAAACAATTTACCTGATATGAACCATGAAGTATACCGGATATGTGCGTATGTAAATATAAATAAACAAAATATCCATACAAGAGCTGCCTTCCTGGTGTGAGCAGACGGAAGGAGAAAACTACTCTAGATATGCTCTAATGCCTATAGCCCCATAATATTGCCTGCTTGGAGCAATTCAAATGTTTAGTCATCACATCTCTGGCTCCTCAGAGCTCAAAGAGAGATGAGAATGCTTACAGGACACCAGACCCCTACACCATGTGTGGAGAGGCGCTTTTGCCTCAGGGGACAAGGCTTGTTTGCCCTGCTAGAAAGCTTTGAAAACTCTTAGAGATGGAAAGTCCTTTGATGCTGCAGTTGCTGCAGGGCCAGCGTGCCATCTCCCTCCCCACAGCTCCCAGGAGCAGAGCTGGTGTCTGGTACCCACCTTTCCATCTCTGCCAGGCTTCCCAGGTTCTCCCACTCTGCCCTGTTGCAAGAGAGAGGTACATCAGCAGGATTTTCTGCCCTGTCCCCTGCCATTTAGCAATGGTACTATTTGAAATGGTGCTTGTACTTTCACCCTCCTTTTCTGCTTGCTACCAGACTGAGAACAGGTCGGGGATAGGACTTCAAAGGGGTCACAGGGATTCTTATCGGATAGGTTTCTCCTGCGAGCAGGACAATTACATCCTGTGTGTTTCTTCCACCCTGCAGCCCTCTGGGGAGGCTGAGGAGGAGGAAATGTGCCTGGTGTCACCCGCTCACACGTGTGTGCCCAGAGAGCAATGGTGCAGGGCGCACACCTTTGCCTTCTCACCTGCCCCCCCCTCCACCTTCCTGGGAACAAACTCCTCCCCACACATCCACGTCCCCTGCAAATCTCCTGCCCATGCCCATCTTGGCTTCTAAAGAGACAAAAGGGCCAGGGGAAAGTGTCTGCACCCTAGAGGAAAAGGAAGCAGAAGGCTTTTTTGTGACTGGACTTACAGGTGGCCCAACTGGCCCGGGCTGTCCTGGGGTTCCTTCGGGTCCAGCCGGTCCAGCGGGCCCTGGGGGGCCAGGGGGCCCCGGGGGACCTTGGATTCCTGCTTGTCCTTGTTCACCCTGAGGTTCATTAAAAGAAGGGGTTAAGAGCAGACAGAGCAAACCCTTCACACCCCAAGGGCCCAAGGCAGATCAGCCTGGCTGAAGCAGAAGAGGTAGAAGCAAGTCCCAGGTTAGTGCCAGGAGAGGTTTCCAAGAGTGAGGCAGAGCCCCGCTGAGGACAGCCAGGCTGCCTGGGTGGCAGGAGCCAGCACCCTACAGTTTGCAAAGACATCTGAGGCCACCTTGTCCCAGCTCTCTTTAGAAAGGATCTACAGATAACTGAGCAGTCCAAAGAGATCTTTTTCTTCACCAGTCAGTCAAGTACAATTTACGTGTCAAGGCCGAACATCTCTTGAGCTTCTCAGGAGGCTTTCCAAAGCACTTGACAGTCATATGTGAAGCAAAGCCTCCCATGACTACACTGGCACTTCCAGGCAGAGCCACAGTGTCTTACCTCAGCCTAGTTTTTTCCCCTGTGCTATATTTGTTGGACAACACTCCCTCTGTTTTGCCAAGGACCAAAAGTAGAAACGCCACAAAACCAAAAGAAAATAACACGATCATCATGGCATTTCTGAAGCCCGCCCAAAACAGGCCTATGTACGCCAGGCAGAGCCTGTTTTTGTAAGATTTAACAAGCCAGTGCGTGCGGAGCCACCTGCCATTTTAAGCTCTCTGAAACGAAGCCGTTTGAGCCGGTTCCTCCCCAGGCCCCTCAGTAGCCATTCAGTGGCTGTGGCTCATGCCTCAGCAATGTCATCTGGCCCAAAGGACCTGGACACGGGACCGAGAGGCGCTGAGGAGACAGTGGGTTGGAAGCGCCACGTTTGAATACCAGACTGCTGATCTGTAATGGATGAATCCAGAGAACCCCCTAAGGCACCGTGGCACCCACGCTAAGCTGTTAGTCTCACGGGCTCTCCTCCTAGTCCCTCTCCCTCGATAAAATATCACGACACCCTACTGCCAGCGACCCAATTTAAATTTGAAAAACTCTTCTTGGTGGATCCGCAGGAAACAAGTAATCAAACATGGTCATTTCTCAGTTATAAATCAGTGGGTGTGCAGTTGGGTCTCTGCCGTATTTATCCTCCCTACAGCCCCATACACTGCTGCTTGGTAAAACTAAGTCTGTTGTCACACACTTGTGTGTGCAGGAGAACGCACAAAATCTGTCCCCTGCCTGGTTCCTACCAAGCGTGCTGTTTATCCTGGCTGTCTTTAGTAAAACACGCAGATACAGGGATGTTTGCTTTATTTAGAATGATAGATGAAAGTAATAAGCTGAAAATTTCATCCCTTCTGCCATGAGCTCTATTTAAAAGAAAATTTCCAACGCGCGGGCCAGGCTCACGGGAAGCTCAGTCATGTGTGGAGCAACAGCCCTTGTCCTCAAAATTGCTGCCTCCTCGCTGCCCAACCCGCAGCCCACGCTGGGAACCCTGCTGGGCCAGGCAGGGAAGGTGTCCTCTCTTTTCCCCATTTTGTAAGTGGATCCCAACTCACCCTGTGCCCCGTGCAAGGGGACACAGGATCCTTCCTGAGCTTTCCTCTCCTCCACACTCAGTGCTACTCAACCATCCTGTAAATGGTCTCCTAGCTTTCAAATCTGGGAGGGAATTTAGATCCAATAAAGAAAAAAGGTTTGGAGAAGCTTCCAAATATAGGTTATGGGTATATAGGTTGGGGATGGACCTGCTGGAAAGCACTGCTGAGGAGAAGCATCTGGGGGTCCTGGTGGAGAGTAAACTCTCCATGAGCCAGCAATGTGGTCTTGTTGCCAAGAGGGCCAGTGAGAACCTGGGCTGTGTAGGGAAGAGTGTGGCCAGGAGGTGGAGGGAGGTCATTCTCCCCCTTTGCTCTGCACTGGGGAGGCCACAACTGGAATCCTGCATCCAGTTCTGGGCTCCCCAGTTCAAGACAGACAGGGAACTGCTGGAGAGAGTCCAGTGTGGAGCAACAAAGATGATTACACAGATGATCTCTAGAAGGTCCCTTCCAACTCCAACAATTCCATGATTCCATGAACTCTGGAGTATACATCTAGATTTCCTCTTGCCCTCACCTCTCAGCCCAGGTTCAGAGACTTCCCAGCCATGGGTGCACAAAAGGGTGTGTGCATCTTACAGTGTCCTTACCATGAGCACAGCACAGGAAGGCAAAGGGGGCTTTGCCTATCTCCCTTTGGCTCTCCCTCCTCTCTGTCAGCCCAGTCCATGCTCCAGATTTGGGGCACTAAAACGCAGCACAGTGCTAGGGATGGGTGCTGGCACCCTGGCAGGGGACGGGGAGATGGGGAGAACAACAGCCCAGCATGGGGAGAGGCTGGAAGGAGCTCACCCAAACCCCTGTTCACATTGCCTTGGCTTTGCTGCCTTGGACAGAGCGTGCTTTGTCTACGCAAGTGCCTGTCCATGCAGATCCCTAAACATGCTAAACATTATTACCACATCATTATAGTCTTATTAGCGCATTCAGCACAAAAAGACCCCCACAGATCTATCTGGATGGTAAGAGGATACAGTAAGCTGGAGATCAGGTGTCATTTTCATCAGATGTCATTCTATATTTTTAGCCGTTGACTGGAGCTATTTTTCAGTGCTTTTAAACATTAGTTGGCCACCCTGATTGTGCCCCAGCAACACAATTCTTGTTCAACCTCCTGACACAGGTTCATCCCATGTCTCTGCTAAGCCCGAGCCCGAGCTCTTGCTGATGTGCTCAGAGGCAGCAGCAAGATTTTCCTCTCTCGGGCGCTGGCGCTAACATCTATTTTGCAGCCTCACATTTTTTCTTAGTATTCATACGTGGGGCTCCTGGAATTGCTTGGTGCTGGCAGATGTGTAGGAGTGGATTACACTTTGTTGCACTTAAGGAATGAATATGGCAAAGGCAAAAGAGATCACGGCAAAATTCTCCGGTGAAGTTAGCCTCTGGGGACAGAGGGAATTTGCAGCCCTGGCTGATGACAGGACGCGGGGCAGCTATTCAAGTTTCCCACTTCATCCTGGATACAAACTTCAGCTTTCAAAGCCTTCCCAAGAGGTCAGTCCTTGGCCTGGCTCTCCAGCTTGTCACTTTGAAGGGCAACCAGCGCAAGCCGTGGGGCTTTGCCTGGTGCGAACGCTGAATGGATAGAAACCAAAATGAGACCAGGGGCTCAAGAGATAAGGTCAGGACGTTGCCAGCACCGGGCAAGGACCTGGCACCTCGTGGCAAGGGCCTGTACTGCAGACTGCTGTTCCCTGCTGGCATCTGACTGCCTAGGCAGGCAGCGGGGTGACAAAACCCAGCCACTTCAATAGAGGGTGCCCAGCTCACTTCAGCGGGGTAATCACAGCGGTTTGTCCACATGGCAAAGTTAATCTCAATGGATGGAACGAGGGAGCTTGAAGTGGGGCTCATTAAAAGCCACATGAACTCTGACTACGGACACTCTTATTCACTATTCATACATCCATAATTCTTTTTATGAATTCATTCCCAAAATAAACTAAACTAAACATGAATTATGGCCCTGGAAACCAAAATAAATGTGTTTACACAAAGATTTAATGCAATTTAATGAAACCATTATAAGAGCTTATTTAAACACATTTTCCCAAGTGTCTCAGACTAGACTAGCCCTTAGAAGAAGCATTTGCCTATTCATTCATCTCAGTTAAATTTCACAGACATTAGCTGCATTTCAGCAAGAGGTTTCTAATCTCTTCTGGAGATTTAATATGCAGGCACTGACTCCTGAAGGTAGGAGACTGTTTGTCGACAGTCCTGAGAACAGTTTCATGGCCCATTTCTTTTACTTTAAAAAACTGGCTTCGCTGCATTTCTTTTTTGCCATATTATTACAACAAAGATTTCCTGCGCTTCAAAGAGAGTCCCTCAGCTCTGCCTAAACTTCTTGGAAACCCCTCTGTAGGGGAAGAAAGACAGGTAGCAAGCTGGTTAATGGCAAGCTTCGGGGTAGGCTTAGAAACAGGCAATGAGGAGGAGAAGTCTACCTGGAAAGTGCGCCTCTTTATGACCGGAGGTGGAGCCAGCCGCACTGAATTGAGGAGAGGCAACAGCTGAAGAAGATCAAACCAGAAGGTCGTGGGGCAAAGGAGGCCGGTTAGGGCACCGAGAGTCAGAGAGCAGCCAGGGGAGAGAACAGAGAAAGAGGGGAACAGAGAGATTGCCGTGAAAATAAACCACCGCGTGAGCGCCGCGCAGGGAGGGCGCGTGGCACAGGTACCTGCAGACAGACCTCCCAGCTCCTCCACACCAGGCGTTGCTCACAAGGGGGACTTGCCACATGCCAGCCCTGGCAGGGGCAGGGTGGCCACTTGCCAACCCAACGCTCCCACTGCACAGAGCTTTTACCACTTTCTCTGCTCAGAAATAAAACTTACCTGGGCTGGGGCGGGGTAGGGGGAAGTTGACTCAGCTCCACTGCTCTCCTCAGGCAGTATTAATTGCAAGACATCCTCCTCATTGGCTCTGCTAAGCTCTCCGGTGACAGGACTGTTAATTTCTCATCACCAGGTTTGAGGTAACTATCAAAACGTCAATTTTCTCCAAGTTTTCCAAGTGCACTTTCCTATTTCTTTCCATCTTCCCTTACAAGAGACACAGTGTATCTCCAAGCCTCACCCTTCCTTGGGGGTGTGGAAGGGAGTGGAGAGGTGCTCACCAGGGCCAAGAGCAGGCATCACCGCCAGCAAACATGTCTTGGTGATATTCCATCACACAACCAACATGGCCAAGGGAGAAGACTAGACTTTGGTGCCCCTGAGCCCCGAGCAGGGTGTTGACTTGGGAGCCTGTGCTTTGCTTTTCCTTGTTTAACAGTAACATCAGCCTCTGACTGCTTATAGCCAGGAATGCTGGCCTAGGGCACAAAGCTGACCCGGACACATAGAAATCAAATGCACTAAAGCTCAGGAGCATTTGTTCATCCTTCTGCTGTATCCAGTTTCCACTTGCACGCATGCTGCTGTCAGCCTGGCACCCACCGTGCCGGCTCCAGGCCCAGGAATGCTTTTCTGGCCTGATCCACTTTCCTGTTCCTATCAGTTTTCCATTGAAGCTGCTCTCGATTTATAGGGAGAGGAGAGAAAGAGGCTTTCTGTGCTCGGGCACAAAAACGTGCCCCTGTGTGCAACGCTGCCCCGTGTGAGCTCTGCACTCGGATCTGAGAGGTGTGCCCGTAGGTCTCCCACCCCTGCTGTGGGTACGTGTCCAAGCAGTGCACCTTAATCCCTTTAAACGTTGTTGTTCTTTGTGTTTGCAGTGAAAGCAAAGGATCCAGTTCTGTTGCAAAGTGAAGTGGCAACCCAATATTGCAGCATCGCCACCCTGGGATCGGGCGGCTGCCTTCGGATGCACTGAGCCAGCCAGCCACAAGCACCCACAACAAAAGCACTGCTGCTGGAAAAACAGCAGGGCTGATCTGATCTGATCTGAAGGAAATCCTTCTCCTTCTAAAAGACAGTGCAGGAGAGGCCCCATAGCTCAGGAGAGCATTCAGGACTACACTGATCTTCTCAAGGGGGATGTAAATCCCCACACCCCTGTGCTAGATGTGCCTCGAGTCTCTGTATGAGTGACCCAGAACCAGCTGAGCCTGGCTCCTACGAATGCTGAAGTGTATCTGAAATACTCCACAGCTTCCAGGAAAGCAGAGGAAGGATGCTGGAAAGGATAAGGAGGGAAATGGAGGGCAGCAGTCCTGAACACAGAGGTGAGACAAGACCCGGCAACAGATTCAGATGCAAGTGGGAGAGTTCAGAGAAGAGCCTGAGAACAGAGAGAACCTGAAGCCTCTTCCACCCAGCTCCTGCCCTGCCCTCTCTGTGTCCCCACAGCAAGTTTATCTCAGAAGGCAGCGTGCAATATTGGATCCGCATCCTCGTGCCTTTGCATCAGAACTGGGTCCCGTCAGACCCTTCCCCACAAACCTTTAGCGTAAGGATCTGGTTAGAGCGCAGGGCTGCGAGGGTGGTACTTAGGTACTCCTGGGGGACAGTGAAGACACATGACACAAACGGGGTCAGTTAGACACACAGCATTTCTGAGAGCAGACAAAGCACGGCTGGTCACCCCCTTCCCTGAGCTGAGTGCCCTTCCCCAGGGC